TACAGGGGGAGAAACTGGGGGTCCAAGGGCTAAGCATCACCCAACCTATTGGCAAGTGGTGAAAGCAGGACTGGGACCCAAGATGCTTTGCAGTTCTGCTAAGGTGTATGGTTGGTGTCAGTACCTGTGTTTTGACCAACAGTCTTTTATGTCATCAAATAGGAGCAGGATAGGGTCTCACTTAAACTAACACATGATTATTCACAACTGAATGTGCAACTGAAATCTTGATTCATGGGTGGCTGTGTGTGTATGTGTGTGTGTGTGAATGATTGAGTTTAGCCTTGAGTAGATCTTTAGCAAAAAGAAAGAAACATGGTAGTTCAGGTTCTGGAAGGAGAAAATCTCAAGTTGAAAGGGAAGGAGAAACCACAGCAGCTGGGGAATCTGAGAAGATAGGCAGGAAGAGAAGGGCCAGCCAAGCTCCTCCTAGAAGAAGGAAGCACCTGGGGACTCTCCCAAGGGCAGGATTCTCCTAGGCCTGCCTCTGGCTTCTCATCTCTGTCACCCTGGTGCTCCAGGTAGGGTTTTGTGATTCAGACTATGTAGGTAGGGGGCCCAAACACTGTTCTCTCCTTCATATTCCTCTGAGTCAGGTTATTCTAGAATTTCTGGAATTGGGTGAGGGGTAGAAGGTGACCTGTATCTGTCAGAGTTGTCAGCAAAGAAAGGTAACTGCTTACTTATCTCAGAGTGCCCTGGAGAGGACACACGCTGGCAGGGCCAGCTCTCCAGGCTTGGGGGTGGAGCACCCAACCTTCTGGCCAAAAACCAGATCCCCAAAGCACTGTGGGAAAAGGTTGCCCTTGTTAAACCAGATACTTGGATTTTTTTTTTTTTTTTAAACTAGGATTTTCTTAAGGACAGTAATTGACCCAAAACTTGTTATGGCAGAATAATGGCTCATCGCCTGAGTGTGTCTGTCCTGTAAAAAGATGAGCTGGTGCTGCTTATGTCCCAATGCATGTGTCTGTGTGTCTTGCTTTCTAAATCTGAAAATCTAAGGAATAAACTGAAAACTTGACCTCAGTTTGTCCGTAAATTGAGTATTTTTTTAATATTTATTTTTTAGTTGTAGTTGGACACAATACCTTTATTTTTATTTATTTATTTATTTATGTGGTGTTGAGGATCAAACCCAGGGCCTCACATGTGCTAGGCGAATGCTCTACTGCTGAGCCACAACCCCAGCCCCAAATTGAGTATTTTTTAATGTTACTATAGAATTTTAATGTTAGAACTCTAAGAGTTTAAAAGCTTAAGTTTTTTTTTAAACCTAGATTTTAAAAAAATTCTTATTCCTATGTTTTTAATATGGCAGGTAGTTTTGTTTGTTTGTTTTTAAAGGGTTTTGAATTCATCTGGAAATGAGATGACATTCTGTAATTTAATTATTCAAAACACCTGGTAAAACAGCATGAAACTGCCATTACTGAGTTTGAGGCCTCTTGTGATAAAGACTATGTGTATTGGAAGCATTAGAAAGAAGTTGGAGGAGGGGACTGGGGCTTTAGCTCAGTTGGTGGGGTTCTTGCCTCGCATGCCCAAAGCCCTGGGTTCAATCCCCAGTACCGCCAAAAAAAAAAAAAAAAGTTGGAGGATTTTGCCGGTTCTGCTGTGCCAGTTGTCTAAGGGCCCTCTACTATCTCATACAGAAACCTCCCACCACATGTGGCCATAGTGCCCTTTAAGAGTAGTTAGCTGGAACCAGATGTGCTGGAAGTGTAAAGTGCACACTGGGTTTTGAAGGCTTAGAGTAAAACAAAGAATGTAAAATATCATCCATTTTTTTATATTGATTACATGGTGAAATAATATTTTGGATGTATTGGGTTGAATCGAACACATGGCTAAAATGAATTTGACCTGCTTATTTTTTCATTTTAAAAGACTATCAGTGGAGGATGGGAAAGGCAGTGGAGCACAACAGACACTAGTATGGCAATTTGTAAATCAATGGATGTGTAACTGATGTGATTCTGCAATCTGTGTATGGGGTGAAGGTGGGAGTTCATAACCCACTTGAATCAAAGTGTGGAATATGATATGTCAAGAAATTTGTAATGTTTTGAACAACCCACAATAAAAAATTAAAAAAAAAAAAAAAGACTATCAGGCAATTTAAAATAACACATTTTCATGCCTCACATTAATGGCTCACATTATATTCTCATTGGCCAGTACCTTCCTGGGTAATTCTGCATTTTCTGACTTAGCCAGGAAAGACAAAATGAAAACAATTGAAGAGAAACCACCTTTTATTCCTAATTTGCTCTTATTCATAAATCAGATAATTAACCAGTCCAATCTCAGGAATTTCAAAAGGCAGAATCTTCCACAGCTTACATTACTCTGAATCGGTCTTTATCTGAGAATCACATCACAATATAATGACTGTTTTTTTTTCCCCCTCCTTCTTCTTCTTCAACCCCTCCAGTCTGATGGATGGTAACTATAATTTTAGGGATTTTGTCCAAAATGCCAGTACTTTGTTCATTCCATTGCCTCTTTTCCTTATCTTTGTTCATTCCATTGGCTCTTTTCCTTATCTTTGTAATATTATGTTACTGAAAATTAATGAAAAATATTTTATCTGGCAATATTGTTGCAGTAATGCTTGTCCTATATCAAATTATGATGATTTTAATTCAAAATAGACATTAAATAAATGCTGAGCACCTCAGCAAAGGTGTTCTGGTGGAACATAAAGCTATTGCACGCACTTCGTACCTCAGGTTGCCTCTACTATAACCAGGCCATGCACACTCAACACACAGTGACTCAAGAATAATCCAGAAGGGACTCTGGTCAAATGGCTAGCAAGCTGCTGTTTAGTCCAGTCGTCATTCCCTGACCCTGAGAGGTTCTCAGGCATCCGCTCCTCCTTCCCTTGCTGCATGGATTCTTTTAGGATTCAGTTGCTCTGCAAATGGATAGTCTGGCCTTGGGTATAGGGACCTGAGGCAGCCCAGAAAAATCAGATCTGCTTCAAAGCTCTTGATTAAGTTGGCTTTATAACTTTACCCTAGGAAACCTTTATGTAAGACAGTATTTTCTGTGTAAAGAGGTGTTTAGTCAAAATAGTTGTGTTTAAGAGGATGAATACATTTGGAGAAAACTCCACCCAAGAGCAGAATGATATTTTTTTCAAGTGCGCACAGACCTGTCACCAAAATAGACCATCTCTGGGACATAAAGTAAACCTTAACAAAATTTAAACATTGATATTATATAGAGGATGTTCTCTGACCCTATGGTAATTAGGCTAGAAATCAATAACAGAAAGATAACTGGATATTTCTCATTGGAAATTAAACAACTTAAATGAAATTTCAGCTTAAGCATTGCTTAAGAAGGAGATTAATAACATTAAAAGTTTATATTAGAAAAGAAGAAGCATTTAACAAAAGCACGAATTCATGATTTAAAACCTTTCTACAGCTGGGCACGGTGGCACACAGCCTCAGCAATGGTGAGGTGCTAAGCAACTCAGTGAGACCCTGTCTCTAAATACAATAAAAAATAGGGTTGGGGATGTGGCTCAGTGGTTGAGTGCCTCTGAGTTCAATCCCTGGTACAAAAACAAACAAACAAAACAAAAAAACACCTTTCTACAAAGAAAACCTGAGGCCAAGATGGCTTCATTGGCATAATCTAACAAACCCTTAAGGAAGAAGTAATATTAATTCTATACAAACTCTTCTGGAAAATAGAGAAGAGGGAACACTTCCTAGTTCATTTAATGAGGCTTACTACTGTGGATCCCAAAAGAGGGTCTTCCCCACAGACTCTACAGACATTGAAAGGGTCAGAGGGAAGTACTACAAACAACACAAACTATCTTAGAGTTTACTCCAGAAGGAATATGTAGCCTGAATAGCCCATTAGGAATTCAAGAAATTGGTTTAAAATCCTTCTACAAAGAAAACTCTAGGCCAGATGACTTCATTGGCAAATTCTACCAAATCTTTAAGGAAGAAATAATAATTCTTCACACGATCTTCCAGAAAATACCAAAAGATATTACATGAAAATAATAGATCACTTACCTTCATGATCTTAAAGGACAAATGAACAAAATATCAACAAGTCAAATCCAGCAGTGTATCCAGCAACACCAGGGCTGGGTGTTGCTCGGTAGTAGAGCACTTGCACAGCATGGGCAAGGCCCCGCTTAAAGCCTCAGCACTGTTTACAAAAGAAGAAGAAGAAGAAGAATCATAATGTTATACTGGTAACCTGACTTCTCAGAATAAAAAGCCTTAATTTTGTACTGTTCCTGGTTTCTATCATGTCAAAATTCCTACCCCAGTCAGGTAAAAGCTACCTGAAGTCACTGAGCATGAAGTCGGGAAGTGTCTAGGGTCAGCTCTCATGAACTTCTTCACATCATGACCAATGCATGACTAGTCCTGAAAATGTAAGACTGAGACAGCATTTAAAAGTCAGTGGAGGGCTGGGGTTGTGACTCGGTGGCAGAGCACTTGCCTAGCACATGTTGAGGCACTGGGTTCCATCCTCAGCACCACAAAAATAAACAAACAAACAAAAAAGAGCTGGGGATGTACCTTGGAGGTAACACACCCTGTGGTTCAGTCCCCAGGACCAAAAAAAGGTCCAGCTGGGTGAGAGGGTCGGATTACTAATCCCAAAGGAGGTCTGGCAGAGAAACTTGTTCAATTACATGAACAAAACTTTTTAGTTTCCAGATTTGCTTGTCAACTTCAAAAAAATAAAAAGAAAACCTTTTATTTAGATAATGGGCATTGCTATTCTTCCCCCAGATCAATTTTTTGGATTATCAAAACCATACCCAATTACTCCTCAGCACCAATTAGCCTTCCAGCTAGCAGTATCTTAGCAATGTCTAGTCTAAATTGACACCTGCATCATAAGTCAAGCTTGGTTTCAGTGAGCTGAGTACCACAGTGTTCATAATGTTCACACAGAACCCAATGAGTGTTTGCTCTGCTTTACTAATGCAAGTTTTTCTCCACCAGGGATGGATGAATGAGATTTGCAACTATGATCCAGAAACTTACCATGCAACTCTGACACATTCTGTCTTTGTTCGACTTGAGGGTGGAACCTTAAGACTTTCAAAGCCCAATAAAAACATATCTAGGAGGGCGAGCTACAATGAAACAAAGCCAGAGGTCACCTACATCAGCCAGAAAATCTTCGACCTCTCGGACAGCAAGGTAAGCCCAAGTGATTTGGGAAGTAGAGTGAATGAAAAGCATCTGGAATCATGATTGCTTTACTGTATTTTTCCCCCTAAAAAGGTTTTATTTTTGTTTTTTGTTGTATAAGGACTAGTCTACTTTATGACAGTACCTCTCAGATTTTAATGCATATATAAATCACCTGGGCATCTTTGAAAATATAGATTCTGATTCAGCAACTTTGGGCAGGGCCTGAGAGTCTGCAGTTTTATGAGCTCCCAGGTGATACTCATGCTGCAGGTCCATGGACCACACCTTGAGAAGCAAGGACATCCTGCACTCAGAATTCTGACTTGAAAAGCTAATTTTTAGCTGAGCATCATGGTGCATATCTGTAATCCCAGCTGTTCAAGAGGCTGAGGCAGGAGGTTTGGGAGTTCAAGGCCAGCCTAGGCAATTTAGGAAGACCCTGTATCAAAATAAATGCCAAAGGCTCAGGATGTAGCTTAGTAGTAGAGTACTTGCTGGCTGGCATGCGAGAACCTGGGTTTGATCCCCAGAGCTTTAAAAAATAATAATAATAATTCAGTCAAGTAAAAACCTCTGTGTGGTAGTACAAGGGTACTAGCAGTGAATGAAAGTTCTGTAGAATGTGCACATTGTGCATTGTGGATGGGCAAAATAACTATATTTTGATAAAGTATATTCTGCTGTGAGAAATGTAAATTGTTACTCCAGAAGCCATATTTTCTATTCTTATAACTCATCTGAATGATCTTTAAGTTTCCCCAAAGTGACAAAAGTACTGAATGTGGTTTTTATATGTTTATTCTTGAATTGATACACAACATTGACTTGAGCTTTTCATATAGATTGATTTATTCTTTTTTCCCAACTTAGATTTCACACATGGTTATTAAAGTTGATTGATATCCAAACTTGGTTGATGATAACCAGCTTAACATTATTTACTTCTGCTGCCTGAAAATTGTAGATATTTGTGCCTCTTGGGGAGTAACAAGTTATTTCTAAAAATTTATTCCAGTTTCTATAGTCATGTTGTAGACAGGTAGTTAAAAGTATTTCACATTCATTTTAGTCAAAAATTCTACAAGTCTTGCATTTTTTGCTGTGTATGATATTAATGCATAGTGTAGCCACTCTTTAGTATATAAATCATCATTTCCCTTTCTCTCTAGATTTATCTTGTACCTAAAAGTTTGGCTCGCAAACGAATCTGGAATAAAAAGTACCCCATTTGTATTGAGCTTGGTCGGCAAGATGACTTTATGTCTAAGACTCACACAGATAAGGAAACTTCCGAAGAGAAACCACCAGCTGAGAGAGAAGACCCTAAGGGAAGTGATGACATTAAGAAGCCACCCCACCCTCAAGAGGGAACAAAATCTGGCCAGCGAGATCAGATACTATATCTGTTTGGAAGAACTGGCCGAGAAAAAGAGGAGTGGTTTAGGAGATTTATTCTGGCATCTAAGCTGAAGTCCGACCTCAAGAAGCCATCCAGTGTCTCTGGAAATAAACAAGGTAATGCATTTGTGCTAAGTGCACTTGCAATTTTAAAGGGCCTATAGGGAGGTTGGGAAAGATTACCCAGGCAGGAAGGAACAAGCCTAGCCTGAATTGATTACTCTTTGCCACCTAAAATGTGTCCTCAAGACTCATGTGCCTTTTAAACTGATCACTACAACCCTTTGTGCCTAGTTGTTTCACCAGCAATAGGTGTCTTTGCAGATGTATGTGGTTAGCCTTTGGTAGGTATCGGGGATTTTATTTCTTATGTACATATTGTTATGTTCTGAGAGAATCAGCAATAGGAAACACTAGTTATAAGAAAGCAGATGAGGGGCTGGGGTTGTGGCTCAGTGGTAGAGCGCTAACCTAGCATGTGTGAGGCCCTGGGTTCCATCCTCAGCACCACATAAAAATAATAAAGGTATTGTGTCCAACTACAACTAAAAAATAAATATTAGAAAAAGAAAGCAAGCAGGTGACGAGTGGGGGTGTAGCTTAGTAGAAGAGCATGCACTTTGCATGCATAAAGCCCTGGTTTTCATTCCCCAGCACACAACACACAAAACAAAACAAAAAACCAGGTAAGCCTAGCTGGTTCTCTTAAACTCCTAATCCTCAACCTGTGCTCCAATCCTATGATCACCATAGAAACGCAGAATCTGTGGCACCTGCTGGTCATTCAAACAGGTAACTACAAACTACCTCTCTGTTAAGCTCTGGCTGGGCCAGGTACTGCAGGAGACAAAACCAGCCAACAGCAGCGTGTTCGTCTGTCCTTGCTCATTAGATAGACTAAACTGGTTTGTATGAGTCTGATGTTTTCAAAGTACTCTGCTAACATGAACATGGTACAATCAGTAATTGTGGAATATTAGAAAGAATAAAACCAGAGCTTTCTTAGTTGGAGTAGGGCTAGGTTGGAGCCACTCGAGACTTTCCCTGACAAGGATTTGTGTTGATCGGGGAATATGCGGCTCATGTGGGTCTCAAACATGGCTTCACGTTGCTTTGCTTTCTGGGAGCCTACCTTGGCCCTTACCCAGCACATTTGCTTTAACACTAGCTTCTACCTAGACCCAGAGGAGCTAAGATCCCAAAAGTCCCTTGGAAATACCTTTAGCAAGGTGAATAGGGAGATAACTGGATATACTCGTTTTCTAGGTTTGCTGGGACAAAATACCACAAACTGGGTGGCTTAGAACTATAAAATTTATTTTTTCACAGTACTAGAAGCTAAAAGTTCAAAATCGAGGTGTTACCAGTGCTGTGCCATCTCTGAGACTACACAGAATCCTTCCTTGCTTCTTTCTTGCATTTGGTGGTAGCTGTTCATCCCTGGCTTGCAGCTGCATCCTTATAAACCCCTCTTCTGTCATCACATAGTGTTTCTTTCCTCCTCAATAAGGACACCAGTCATATTGGATAAAAAGTCCATCTCCCTCTAGTATAACTTCATTATAACAAATTCTGTCTGCAATGACCCTATTTCCAAATAAGGTCATGTTCTGAGGCAGAGGTTAGGACACACCAACATATCTTTTGGGGGACGCAGTTGAACCCATAACACTGAATAAAAGAAGACCGAAGTGGGTGAGAGTCCTCAGCACCAGCCCTGCTCAGTTCTCCTGATGGGTCTGACTAAGTAACCACCAGCCCATGTTGCTTTTAAGCCCTTGAAATGTGGCCAGTCCAAACTGAGATGTGAGTGTAAGATGTACATTGGATCTCAAAGTTTTAGTCCAAAGCATAATGTGAAATGCTTCATTAAAATATTTTTATACTAGTGACTTGTTGAAACGAAAGAATTTTAGATGTATTTACTCAAATAAAATATATTAAAATTGATTTTCTTTGCTTATTTTTACCTTTTTAATGTGGTACCAGAAAGTTTAAAATTGTATATGTGGTTCACATTTGTGGCTCACATCGTGTTTCTGATGGGAATGTCAGGGTCCACTGGCCTAAGCACTGAATCTGAGAATCAGGTAGCTCCCAGGGATGTGTGAGACCCCCCCAGAAATACTGCCCTAGGTGCTCAGGGGTCACCCAGAGCAGCCTCCAAAGCAACATGTTATTTATAGTTTTAGCTAAAGCGTTTGATTGTTTCCAATAAATTTGTATTTTTGGAAATTCTGCTGTTCCCAGACTTCCACTCAGCACAACAAACCTAATGGCAAGAGTCAGAGATGTGGGAAAGCCCTTGGTGCTCTCATTTACACTAAAATCAAGCAAGGCCACATTCTCACACCACTAAAAATACATATACTAGTCTGGGTGGCCTTTAAAAGCTATGAATTAGGATATTTATGATAAATTTAAGTCACCAAGGTGTGATGAGGCTGGGGCAAAGGTAAATTGGTAAGGCCTGTGCTGTTCTTCAAAGCTGCCTCTGAATCAGTGACTACACATAGATGAGTTGTCAGCTGTGATGGTGTGGCTGGTGATGATCGTCCGAGGCCAGGAGCCTCTGTCTATTCCAAGATGACAGAAGTAGTTCTGCTGCCTGACCCAACCCTGTCTTCTTCCTCAGGGCTGCTGTACTAAAGTCATAGGTTTCTCTAGCAACGTGGTCTTGGATCTTGATACAGATACAGACACAGGAGGCCCAGGGCAGGGCTGAGATCCACATGCCTCAGGGCAGGAAATGGCTCCTGGAGTAGCAAGAGTTAGGGTCACCTGGCACAATCCCATGTTATCAGGGACCATCATCCATCAGATCCTCCAAGCAGTGAGGACTCCTATGGCTCAGTGGTTAAGTTCCCCTGGGTACAATCCATAGTACCAAAAAATAATAATAATAATAATAATGTTGCTGAGCACGGTGGTGCACGACTATAATACCAGATACTGGAAAGGCTGAGGCAGGAGGATCGCAAATTTGAGACCAGCCTGAGAACTTAGCAAGACCATGCCTCAAAATAAAAGAAGTGTTGAGGATGTAGCTCAGTGGTAGAGACCCCTGAGTTCAAAACCCAGTACTGCAAACACAAAAGTTAATTGTTAAGATGATGAGAGGATAATAAAGGATTATTAAAAATTTAACTCAAGGTAAAAATCTCAGTACTGAAAATTATCTAGCTAAACTGTAAATTAAGAAATGCCTGGCGTAACTCTGTGTGTGGCTCTGGGGAGCTGCAGTTCACATGGCTGGAACCTCTCAAAAAATAAAATGATTTGATTTGATTTTTAACCATTCTTCGTTTCCTCTCATAGTAAATCTGAATAAAATTGTTCCCATCAGGCATTTCCATGCTTAAAGCCCCTCTACTAGCAGGATATGTTTGAATCCAGGTTGCTCTCGAGGCCATTGGTGGTCATTCTCAGCTTCTCCACCCTCAGCTCCTGTCCCTTTGTCCATGTCCACCTTGTGGGATTCTCCTGAACCTCTCACCAGTCTCCAGACTGTGCCTATCCTTACTTCTTTAATATACTCTTCCTTGTCTCTAAAATGCCTTTCCCCCAGCCCAAGCCAGGAAAAGTGGCAACTGCTCCCTGAAGAGACAGCCCAGATGTCACTGCTGTGATATCAGTGTTGGGATTGCACCTCTACAGAACATGTGTTAGAAAAGGCTGTGATTTATCTCACACATGAGTTCAAGGGCAGGGATTATGCCTTGGTCTTCTCTTTAGCATTGAATCTTCTCAGAAAGTACTTTATAAATAATTCCTTGAAAGAAAGATGGCATCTTTGGAAATGCCCTGAGCTGTGGATGAACAATTAATTAAATTTCTGCCCACTCTCCTTTGCCCCTGATAGCAACTTCAGGTCCACCCGGACTAGGGCTGTGTCAGTGTTATATTTGACCTTTTCCTGAAAGATCACCAGGCACAAGGGAAAGGAACCCACTAGATATACTTCATCGCTTGGGATTATCTTGAGAATAATATAAACAATTTTCTATCATTAGAGCAGAAGACATTTTTCAGGATGGGAAGTCACCTAGTAAACATATTTTAAGCAGTGACTTGATAGCATTTGGCTGCTTTCTACTGAACCCAGGGGAATTTGTGCTCGTAGGTTTGGTTTACTTGGTCGTTCCTTCTTCATTTATGTTAACAGCTGTCACTTCTTCACTCTAGGGCTTTTGCCCTCCCACAGCAGACATAGCAGTCCCTCGGGACACCTGACCCACAGCCGCAGTAGCAGCAAAGGCAGCGTGGAGGAGATCATGTCACAGCCAAAGCAGAAGGAGCTGGTGGGCAGTGTGCGGCAGAAGATGCTTCTAGACTACAGTGTGTATATGGGCAGATGTGTGCCGCAGGAGAGCCGAAGCCCCCACAGGAGCCCTGTGCAGAGTGCAGAAAGCAGCCCCACAGCTGGGAAAAAGGTAAAGCTCACAGGCCGGGGCCCCCTGCTCTTTTCCCTAAACTCATTTCTTCATGCATGAGGGATTGAGCACCTGTTTTGTGCTAGGCCCCAAGTACATGGTGATGAGCGGGACAGAGAAGGGCCTGCCCTCAGGGAGCTTGTGCTCTACTCCAGGAGACAGCTAGAAATGAGCCTCAGGCAGTGGTAAGAATTGAAGTCAGTTAAAGGGGACGGAAAATAGACTGAACTCAGTGAGGGCCCCTGAGGAAGTAACCTTTGGGCAGAGACCTGAGGGACATGAGGCAATAAGGTAACAGCAAAACATGTGGGAGACACATTCCAGAGGGGCACCAGCAAGTGCAAAGGCCCTCATCAGGAATATGTTGGGAATACTCAAGGAACAGACAGCAGTGAGGCCAAGGTAGCTGAATAGTAAGCAAGGGTAAGAAAGGGAGGCTGGAGGGCCAGCCAGGCCTTTTCAGATCTGTTATGAGGGAAGTGGGAAGCCATAGAGTGTTTGGGCAAGGAGTGACATTGATCTGATTAATTCTAAAAAGAAAAGTGGCTTTCACGGAGGATTGTCTGTAGGAGAGGAGTGGGTGGAACTGGTGCAGTGGAGGGTGGGCTGAGATGCAGGTGGTAAAAACAGGTGGTGAGGAGTGGCAGGCTGGGGATAAGTGTTGAGGGAGGAGCTGGCTAGATTTGCTGATGAGTGAAAGAGGAAGGGAGGAGGCAGAGATGACTCCTAGCTTTTGGGCCTGAGCAACTGGGTGATCAGTAGGGAAGGTCACAGAGGTGATAATAGAGGTCTAATTCCTCAGTAACCATGGTAGTCTCAAATTCTCAGCTGGGCATGGTGAGGCACACCTGTCACCCCAGCAACTCTGGAGCCTGAGGCAGGAGGATCACAAATTCTAGGCCAACTCTGGAAGACCCTGTCTCAAAAATAAAAACAAAAACTGGAAACCAAATTCTTAGACTCCGATGTTCAGTGCTTTTAAAGATTTACTATGAGTGTGATTTCCAAATTATAACGAGCTGGACATTGACTTACTATCATTTAAGGTAAGATTAATACCTTAGGCCACCGCGTGCCAGACTCCGGTAGGTACTTGAGTAAGATTACCCTGCTCCCATGAGCACACTAGATGGTGTTCTCTTCATTGTATAGATGGAGAAATGAAGCTCAGAGAAGTTAGGGGCTTAGACTTGCAGCTGCTAAATGATGGAGCATGCATAACCTGTCCTGGGACCCAAGGCCCTCAACTTGCTGTGACTGTTGCATTGGTGGGTCGCTCTAAAGCCCAGCTGGACTTGAGGCCTTTTGCCTCCACTGTGTCCCCATGCTCTGGGGCACAGTCCCCACCGGTGGAATATGCAGCCTCTTTCTTCTGTTCAGTCACTCAAATTTCTGTCCTTAACCAAAGAGCAGGTAGTGATCACTCTTGTGCCGTTAGCAGGCCTTATGTTTGGAGGAGGTCACCATCTGACCCATGTGAACTTGTCAAGGCAAAAAGACCATGGGCCTTTGCTGCCCTCCATCCCCTGCCTCTCCCTAAATTTTCAGCTATAGTGAAAGCAAACCTCCCTCTAGGCTACAGCGAGGTGATCTAACTCTTCTAGAAGTGTCCTGTTTGCCACTGACAGGTTCTCCCTGGGTTCTCCATATTCCCTTTCTCCCTGGGCCACCAGCTATGTGCACTCACTTCAGACCCAGGAAAATCAGGAGAAGAACTGTACACTGACATGAGAAGATTATTGAATAAAATGCTTGCTTTCCTCAAATTAAAAAGCAAAACAAACCCTGTTTTAGAGCATTGTTTCCTCAGGGTACGCTGTATGTACATGTTGTACCACATGGTCCCCGCCCAGCCCTCTGCCTAGTGTTGCTGGGAGTAGGGTGTGGTCTCTAGTCCAAACCTCCTTCTAGCCTCCTGGCACTCAGCCCTTGAAATATACAGTATTTTTCACCCTCTTCTAAGTCAGATGGAAATCATTTAAATCCATATTGTACTTCCTGAACCCCCTTAAGCCAAGCAGGCAGGGGTGGTTTCATCTTTTCTTGATAATTTTAAGAGTTAGTACAACAAACGGAAACTTTAAACTGTCATCATGCAGGGGCTACTGAGGTCAGAAAGCTCTTGACCCCTCAACCTGAGCCACCCAGACTGCAAGCTCTGCAGTATTTTCTTCCATTTCAGTTGGCTGGTATTGCCGTATGGTCTCTCCTAGTTGTTTTTTCCTTGAGCCCTTGTCCCCATCTTCCACCTTCAACCTAGTTAATTTTAGGGGGGGGTGAGAGGGTACTGGGGATTGAACCCAGCAGTGCTCTACCACTGAAAAGCAACATCCCCAGCACCCCCCACCCCTGCTTTTTTAAACAGTGTCTCAACTGAGTTGCCCAGGCTGGCCTTGAACTTGGGATCCTCCTGAGTCTCTGGAATTATAAGCATGTACCACCACTGTGCCCAGCTCACCCTAGTTAATTTAATGATTGATGGCTGCTATGGGCTAAGAAACCAGAGTCAGAATGGTTCAGGCAAGGATCACTGTCTCTGGGGAAGGTTGTGTGAGATTTAGTGCAAGGCCCTCACATCTACTTGGCTTGCCAGAAACATGTGGGGACTGTGTCCTTGCTCTCAGGGGTCTGGTAGTGAAGATGCTCTTGATTGAGGTAAAGGTGTTAGTTTAGCTATTTATTGCTATGTAACAAAAAGCCCCAAAAGTGGTGGCTCCAAGCTGTAACATTTATTTTCCTCAAAAATTTGTGATTGGGACATGGCTTAGCATGAGAGAGCTCTGTCTGCTTCATGCAGGGTCACCTAGAGAAGCTGGACTAGGGGCTGGATCACTTCTGGATGGCTCACTCCCATGGAGGGCACATAGATGCTAATAGCTGATTAAACCCAGCTGGGGCTGAAAGTTGGGGACCTCATTTCCTGTCCATGTGGCCTGGCTTCCTTTAGCACAGTGACTGGGTTCCCAAGGCAAACATGCTTCGAGAAAGAATTAGAATTTAAAGTGCCTTTTATGACCTGTCTTGGAAAGCAAGGGCCATGTCCATCATGCTCTATTAGTGAAGGAGAGGGGCATGGGTTCCTCCTGTTCCCAATGGAGAAACAAAACCTGGAAGAGCATTGAGAATAGGAAATATTAGTGCATCATTTTTGGCAAATAAGACCACAGTACTAATTTTTTTTTAGTTGTAGGTGGACACAATACCTTTATTTTATTCTATTTATTTATATGTGGTGCTGAGGATCAAACCCAGGGCCTCACAGATGCTAGGTGAATACTCTACTGCTGAGCCACAACCCTAACCCCACAATACTACTTTTTAAAATATATATATATTTCTAGTTGTAGCTCTTCACAATACCTTTATTAATTTATTTATTTTTATGTGGTACTGAGGATCGAACCTAGTGCCTTCACATGCTAGGCACACTCTCGGAACCACTGAGTCACAACCTCAGCCCCCCACAGTTCTATTTGTATAATCTTTCATGCTTTTATTTACAAGTCAGTTGGACATGATGATTTTTTTTTTTTCCTTACAGTGCTAGGGATCAAATCCAAGCCCTGTACACATGGGCAGATGCTCTACCACTGAGCCACATCCCAGCCCTGAGGATGTATTAATGTTGTGATTTGAGCAGATGATGGCCTTTCCCCCATCCTTATTGATTTTTATATATTTTTTTTTTTTTGTTCATGATTCAAAAAAAAAAGCACAGATCTGTACAAAGACATATTCAGAAAAGATTCTTTCCCTGTCCTGTGTTTTCTGTCCCTCCATGTTACTCCCACTCACCCCCTGGAGTGAACTGGTCTCCTTAGTCTCTGGTTGTCCTTTCTGAAGTTCTTGTTTCTTCTTCTGTCTTACTCAAAGGGTAGCACATGACATGGAATTTTTTTCATAAGTTTTCACTTTTGAAAACATTCTGGAAATCATTCTGCCAGTTCATAAATTTTCCCCTCCCTCTTTAGAAACAGCTACAAAGGACTTCTTATCTTGTGTGGGTGTATTCATCCTCTCTCCAATATGGGCTCAGAGGTTATTTCTAATATTTTGCAATTACAAACAGTGCTTCACTGAATAACATGGTGAACTCATGTTTTTGCTGCTGTGGGTGTTTTCAGTGTGAATTCTCAGAAGTGGAACTGCTAGGTCAGAAGGCGAATGCATACCATAGTTTGGCTAGATGTTGCCGAGTTCCCCTTCATAGGATTGCTCTGATGTTCGTTCCCACCACTGCCCAGCTTCTCCAGTCTGGTCAAATGTGAGCCTTCTGGATGCCATTAGTGCTCATTCCTCCTGCCAAAGACAGGTTATTTCTTAGGGTTTGTTTTTGCTTCTGATATCATGAGTCCAAGCCAAGGGACCAAAGAGTCACAGTCACAAAGGAAACTTTGAAACTTCCCCAAGTTGCACCATCACATCTTCAGTGTTGGCCACCACCAATGTTTGCTCAAGGTAACACAAGGCTTGGGACACAACTCTGGCCTTTGCCCCCACTCTCCTCGCCCTACTCTCCTGTTGCCTCTTATGAGTCACAGTCAAAGAATGTCTTTCCCTGAGGGCTCAAGGGTTACATGGCCATGTTCACATATTTGACCCCCTTTCTGTCATATTGCACAGTGCTAAACAAGTCAGACCACTGGCCAGGAGATGAATGGGGTATTATTAGTTCACTGATACTCAGGATCCAAACCAATGTTAAAAACACCCAGAGATAATTAGGGACTATAGAACTAGATTTATGTTAATCAGTACTATCACTTTATTGGCAGTTATTCTTACCCATAACAATTAAAAAAAATAAATTCAGGGGATTTTTCAGATTGAAGCAACATTATAGTTATTAAGCTCAAAATTTGAATTATATAGTATCACTATTTGGTGAGGGAGAGGATTTTAATAATAAATCAGGAAACAAAGAAACTCTGTTTAAAAATGTGTAAAGGTCGGATAGTGGGGTAGGTTTTTCCACTAGTGTATATGACAGGAAGTGACACTCCATTGGCCAGCTGCACTTGCTCAGGGGCGCAAGGCCAGGGAACTGTTGGTTCCCTGTGCCGTGGAGTGGCTGCCTGGGAGAGAGGACTGTGGAGGGGCAAGAAATGCCCTCCTCCAGGTGGGGAAACACAAGTGTAGATCACCAAAGTCACTTCCGTTCTCTTTCAGTGGAAGGTTTTAGGAAATGTTAGAGGTAGTATAGGCTGTCCCAGCATAGAGTCCTGTTCTCATCGTTCTGCTTTGCACTCATTAGCCAGTGTCAATGAGCTGGATCACAAGCTATTACCACCTACTTGGCATTATCAGTTTAAAATCCTATGAGCAAATAGGACTCAAATTGAAGCTAGGAAACCTATCATGGACAAAGCAATTTTTCAAGGCTTCTCTTTTTCCTCTGTCAGAGTAGCCTTTTCAGATCTTCAAAAGTGAAAATGGGAAATGGTTAGTTGATAATAAGTAAAAAATATGAAGTCAACCAGGAGTGATGGTGCATGCTTGTAATCCCAACAGCTTAGGAGGCTGAGGCAGGAGGATCACAAATTCAAGTCAGCCTCAGCAACTTAGTGAGGCCCTGTCTCAAAAAATAAAAAAAGGACTGGGGATATTGCTTAGTGGTTAAGCATCCCTAGGTTCAATTTTCTGTACTAAAAGAAAGAAATAAAATTTATAAAGGAGATAGGAATGCCAAGACAAATCAACAGGGGAAAGAATGGTCTTTCTTTGTCTCTCTCTCTCTCTCTCTCTCTCTCTCTCTCTCTCTCTCTCTTTGGTGCTGGGGATTGAACCTGGTGTATTTTACTACTGAGTCACATTTCCAGCCCTTTGATTTTTTTTTTTTTTTTTTTTTGAGACAGGGTTTTCCTAAGTTGCTTAGGGACTTACTAAGTTGCTGAAGCTGGCCTCAAACTTGTACTTGTGATCCTTCTGCATCAGCTTCCCAAGTTGTTCACCTCACACTCCCTCAAAAATTGACTCACAATGGACCATAGACCTCAACGTAAGAGATAAAACTACACAACTCTAGTAAAGAAGTAAATCTGCTGGGCACAGTGGAGCATGCACACTTCAGTCCCAGCAACTCAGGAGACTGAGGCAGGAGAATCACAAGTTCAAAGTCAGCCTGGCAATTTAGTAAAACCCTGTCTCAGAATAAAATTAAAATGGTTGAGCATGTAGCTCAGGGACGGAATATCCCTGGCTCAATCCCTAGTAGTTTGGGGGCCAGGAGGGAGAATAAGTCTTTGTGACTCTAATTTAGGTACCTTCTTAGCTAAGACACCAAAAACAGGAACAACCAAAGAAAAAAATAGGTATATTGGACTTCATCAAAATATTTGAGAATTGCTTTCCTGATGAAATATACACCAAATATACACAGGGGCTTTACAACTAATAAAAAAGAGGTAAATAACGCAACTAAGATACAGGCAAAGGATCTGAATAGACATTTCTTCAAAAGATCTAGGAATAACTGATAAGCACACAAGACAGTACTCAACACGGTCAGTCATCATAACCATGGTAGATGCCACTGGACACCCACTAGGATGGGCATAATAATCAGAAAGACAGATAATAAGTGTCAGAGAGGATGTGGAGAAATTTTGGAGCCACTTATGCTGCTGGAGGGACTGTAAAATGGATGACAACTGTGCACAATAGTTTGGTAGTTTCCAAAAAAGTTAAATATGGAGTTATCAATTCCAGAATGGAATTGCTGCATCATATGGTAATTGTGTGTGCAAATTTTTAAGGAATTCCCATACTATTTTCTACAGAAGCTGTTGAATTATTTGCTTTAAATGGATGAATTGTATAGTCTGTGAATTATATCTCAATATAACTGTGAAAAAAAAAAAAAAAACATTACCATATAGCCAGACCCAATTTTGTTTTGAAAAAGAGTTTTGTATTCTTAAAAGTATTTATACACATTAAAAAAGACTGAAAGAAAATATAGTAAAGATGTTTTAAATAATTATATCTGGGCAGTAAGATTGCAAGTATATTCCCTAATGAATGTGCATTCTTTTTATATCAAGAAAGAAAGCAAATGAATCAGGAGAAGGGTCCTCTCCTGGACCAAGCTGCCACTCGTGACACCCCATGACAGCTTTGAGGCTGCGGCTATGCATGGCCAAACTAGGAGCAGAGGCACTAAGTAAAAAAGCCAGGCTGACCTCAGCCATTTGTAATAGGAAGCATTACAGCAGAGCTGCTCAGTCTTGATAGCTTTGCTTTAGCTCTGGACCAGTGAACTCCACCCCCTGCCACTTTTTTTTTCCCCCCAGCCATCTTTGGGAATCTACCACTTCTAAATGTATGTATACTGTTGAAATGGAAATAGTGAAATGAATATTCTCCTCACATCTCTCCCTGCAGCCAAACGGCAATATTAGGAAATGTATGCGCATTTGTTCTCTAAGCTCTTAAATTTTTATGACAGCATTGGGAATGAGTTCTCCTAGCAGCCTGTTGAGTCCAGATTTTGTTCATAAAGCTTCTTTGATGCATTGACGGTGTTGTGTTGCTCTCAGGTTTTCCTTTGTTCCTGGTGTGACTATGGAGAGAAGCCTGCATTAGAAATAGGAGCTGTTGAAAAGGAAAATCAACCCACTTGTCAGTTATTTCAGAAATTTTACCACGTCATGTGCCATTGGTTTGGACATACGTTGTGAAATAGCCTTTGTTTTTTTACTACTTTATGTAAAATCTGTTTCCTGTGAAAATGAGGATTGTAAAAAAAAGCTGATGAAGGGTAGACTGTGTCTCTTTTAAGGGAAAAGGCAATCTATTCTCTTAGGTAACCTATAAATCTAGATAAGAGGTACAGGGCCTGATGCAGGGAGTAGCTTGGTTCAACCTGAATGGCTTGAATGGGCATTGTCCTCAGATGAGTGCTCTTCTCAGAAGTCTGTGTAGATGATCTGATGGGACTTGAAGATGGCAACCTCAGAAAAGCTGCACCTAATACCCACGGACTGAAGTGGTGATGTTTAGACAGAAAGAAAATATTCAAACAACACGTACAGTTTGTGGCATGACTAAGTGCTCACTGGTGCAAACTTCTGCCCTTCTGTCCAGGACCTGGTGGTAGCAAACATCTTGGTTAATGTCCAAAGACATGACAGTACTAGAAAATTACTGATAGAATTTTTCAGACATTAAAGAGTGAGGTAGATTCATTTCTTAAATTGAAGGACCAACATATTCATTATAAATCAGGGTTTAAAGTGAGATTTAATAATATTCATGAAGGACCTTGAAAAACACCTGAATTTGAAGGACTCTTAGAACATATCACATTCAGTAACAAGTGATTGAATATGTGAGCAACTCCCCCCACCCAAAGAGAGAGATGACACAGGAGTGACAAGAGTCATGGACAGATGAGTGCCGAGCTGTCTCTGTGGCCTACGCTCAGGCTCTGTGTCTGGCCCACCTGGGTCAGCCCCTCAGAACTCTGGGCTTCAGAAGTACATGCCACAGACCCTGATGGTTCTCACAGGCATTCAGACCTGCTGGTATTGGATCCATGGGCATCATAGCCTGAGCACACAGCTGTGACAGGGTCACAACTACCACTTCCTGCAAAGGTCGGGCCAGTGCAGATGCATGAGTCGGAGGTGGGAAGGGAGTGGGTGTGCAGGGTGTGTGGCAGGACGGGTGCACTTATGTGAGCCACAGAAGGAGGGGAAGAGCAAACGATTCACAGATTTCTACTTTTCTAGATCTTTTGATCTTTACTTTTCAAAGCTCATGTCTCTAAGACTGTAGTCTAATTAGTGACCTCAGCCCAAGGAAAAGGGGGCCACTAACTTCTGCTACTCCACACCCGACTCCAGCACCCCCACAACATAATACTCCTCTCCTCCCTTGAATAGATGCAAGGTTCCCATCTTCTGGGGTGAATGTGAACGAGGCAGCCTGAGGAGTCTGTCATAGGGCTGGTGTGTGGTCAGTGGACAGCAGCAATAACGGCAGTGTGGAAGCCGCCAGCTACTGAATTCTGAACTCATCACCTGCTGGCAACCACTTAAACCTCACTGTACCCTCCATGGGTGCTTATGCTTCCTCCTCCTCCCGGCTTCTCCCTCTTCCTCATCCTCCTCTCTTCTTTTTTTGCTTTGTTTTAGTTTGGGTTTTGGTGCTGGGGACTGAATCCAAGGCCTCACCCATGCTGGCCAAATACTCTACCACTGAGCTCTAACCCCAGTCCTTCTCCTCCTTTTTCCCCATCCCTGATCCTTACCAGGCCAGAGTCCATAGTGACTAGCCTAGGAAACTAGAGACACAGTTCTGCTCACACTAGCCACAGCAAATATTTCAGACAGATTTTAGAGTGGGGAGAGGATGAGGGGGTTTCACTGGGCTGAGGTTGGAGAAAACAGCTGCCCTGAGAGCAGCTCTCTCTCATCCAGCCCATGGTCCTTCACCCCACCTCTTCATCACATGGAAAGAGGCTTCTAAAACTCTTGATGCCCACTCGGCTTAGTGTCTCGGAAGGACCTCCCCCAAATATTTTGACCTTGCAAGAATTAGGCCAAACCTAAGAGTCAGGCCACAGGGGAACTGAGGACTGCCTGGATGAGGACCAGCTAGGGACAATTACACATCCAAGCCTGGGCTGGAAAAAAATGACATTTGATCAGATATGTCCTTGATACTGTGGGAGGCAGGGCAATGCAGCTAAGCTATTTATGTGGAATATTAGCTGGTTCACAGGAAGACTGGTGGAGAAAGGAAACGGTTTCCACTGTGATGGCAGTTTTCATTTCTCCCTTTTCTATTCACCAATTAATGTGAGGCTTGTCATTTATAGGCAAGAAATATGTCTCATGCAGTCCTCTGATTCTGAGGGAGGGAACTTCAGAATTTATTTATTTATGAAAATAAGCACCTGTCTTACTCTCCAGTTGCCTTCCAGCTAATTTTGGTCCCTTTACTTTTGCCAGTTGCCAGAGGCTCCACCCTCTGAGGAGGAAGAACAGGAAGCCTGGGTGAATGCTTTGCTTGGAAGAATATTTTGGGACTTCTTGGGAGAGAAATACTGGTCGGATCTGGTGTCTAAGAAAATTCAGATGAAACTCAGCAAAATAAAGGTATTGCTTTTTACACAAGAGACTTCTCTTTTCCCACTTCTTAATTTCTGGACATTTTGTACTCTGTATCCTGAATGAAAAATAATTTAGTTTTAAGCATTTAACACATCAGCTAATAAGTTGTTCTCAAACAACACATCTGACCCAGATCACAGATTGACCTTGATCTTAGTGTATCTGGGGACTGAGTGAACTATCCTGTTTACTTTATTTCTTGTGTTGTCACATAATTATCCACTCTAGGTGGTAGTCCAGAATTTATTGGGGAAAATGTGAGCTCCTGAAACTGATTTGTCTTGAGTAATTCTGTTATGTTTGAGTAAGAAACAAATTTAAATTGTTTGTCCAGAGCCCAGTCTGAACCTCGCAGTGGTCCAGTACTCTCAGAGGAAATCCCAAACTATTGAAGACCCCTTTCTGAGCCACACTGCTTCCCACAGCTGGGAAAGTTAGGAGCTTCACTCAGAATCTGTCTTCAATGGACCTTTCTTTTTGGCCAGATGGTGCTTTATTTTGGGCTTTCTCTGCTGAAGAAGCATTCCTGGTGCTCAGCCAGCTCTCTTGTGAGTGAGTTTAAACTGCAAAAGTATTCCTCATGACAGTCATTAAAGGATACATCTGCCAACCGAGGCCTTCTGGAGGTTCTTTAAAAGTATATCTTTGACCTGATGAAGACCCAACCAGGAAGAGAGTAACATTGGTCTCCAAGTCTTCACAGCCTGTAGCTTGTATTAGTGGCTCTATTTTTTTTTCTTTTAGATCATAGATATCTTTGAGAAGCAGAAACCTATGGAGAAATGTACACTGGCACAGAATTTTGCCCACAGTTTCAGAGAGTTTAAGAACTTCAGGTTAAGAAGCTGTGGGCTAAGGTAGATTCGAAGGAAAATGTGGGCATGGGGAGCTTCTGTTTGGTATCAGGCATTCCCCCAGGTGAAGAGCAGAGCCTTGTCTGTCTTGGTTGAGTTCTGCTAAGTTCTGTTGCCATCTACAAGCCAGCATATTCCTTTTTCTGACCCCAATAAAGAAAAGGAGCAAATTTCCAGACAGAATTTGGGGCAGGGCTTTGGGAGTGTTCTTCAACAAGTATCTGCCAGTGTGTTCTTGAGGCAGGTTGAGGGTTGACTCTACTTTTGCTAGCCAGTCCCACCCAAGCAGCTATGACCCTCTGCGTTGGATTATGAGACACCAACAGCCAACTTAGAGCCCACTCAGCCTCTTTAACACCTTAGAAATGACAGAGGCTAGAATCCCATGTCAAGGCACACGGTCAGAGCTGCCCCTGTGATTTTTCTGTCTGGGGTTCTTCTCTGAGGGCTCTGATTCCTAGCAATGTGAAAAAGCAAGCAGGGTTTGTTTGAGCTCCAGTCAGAAGCTGCTCTCCTTATGCATAGTCCAGACCGATTGAGAGGCTTGTTCCACTGTTCTCCCCAGAGCCTGAAGTTTATGGTGCCACTGTCCCCATGGTAGACTCACACCAGAGTAAGTTAGGGAAAGTTTTCTATTTTCATTTTCTCTTTTTGCTGGTCAGATAGGCTTTTGCAGTTCACAACCAACTTCCTTTTTACTTTTAGAGGTCAGACGTACTAAAAGGTTAGAATAGAGAAGGGTGATCTAGATCTAGCAGTGTGAGAATTCAGAGTGGGGGTCTGTATCCCCTCCATTGATAGCCACACCCTCATCCCCTACCTGAGCTGCTGCATAGTGAAGTGCCCTGATCACCAGAGGAGACCCAGGCATAGGAATGATCAGAAAGGCAGAAGAAAGGTACCAAATTCTGCACCTGACATCACCATTTGCCAGAAGAACTCATTACTGCCAACTAGCCCGTACCTCTGGAGGGTGCTAACTCTTAAACCTAGTAGTGAGTGGGTTCTGCTTAAACATCTAGTCAAGAACCAGAAGGGGAACAGAAGAGTGCCTAGAGGAGCCTGAGTTCTCTGTGACATAGACCTCCCACCTCCTGGTTTCCCTTGACGACTTGACATTTGGAGAACTCTGCTGGCCTTATCCTGGAATCTTAGATTGTCACCCTTACACATGACAATAAGTCATGCGGTAACAGAGCAGCCTTGTATGTGTATCTGGTGCCCCAGGATGGGTTTCAAATAAGCTGGGTTTCTGCCCCAGTAGCAAATGCACTCTGGGCCTTGGTTGCTGCTTGAATACAGCCTTGGGGCCCTCAGGGGCTCTGCCTGTGTGAGTGAATGCTCTGTCATTGCACACAGTTTCTGACTTATCACCTACCGACCTGAGCATTGCCCATACATCTGACTGCTCTATCCCAGTGAGTTTATTCCAGAGGGTCAGGAGCATGCCTGTGGGTTCCTGTCTCACCACGAGGCCCATTGGGTGAGAAGAAAGGTTTCTGGGTGAACAGCACAGACCGACTGATCTTCTCTTGCCTTGTCCTGCAACATAGGAAGGAGGCTGTTCTAGGGTAGAAAGCTGGATAGAGGAGGGGTGTGAGGAAGGGAGGTTAGAGATATTCTAGATTCTTGAGGTTGGGTAAACAAGTGAATAAGTAGGAAGAAAGGCTCTGCTGATGGCAGTCCCCATTGTGCTTACTGATAGGTAAAGCTTCATCCACCCCTTGCCACCTCCTCAGCCCTCAGTGCCTTGAGGCCCCTCCTTTGTCTCAGGGCTTGTCCCAGGTCCTTCCTTTGTCTTTTCAGGGACTGTAGGGTACAGGATGGTATAGTGGAGGGAGGTGTGGCACAGAAAAAGGAAGATAGTTACATTCCTAGTGTGGCTCATTGTCAGACTTACGTTCCCATAGAAACACTGATGGAGGTGGCCTGTTCCTCAGCTAGCCCCAGGAAGTCTGTCTAACCTGGCAGGCTTCTAAAGTGCTGGGACTTGGAATGACAATAACAAAAATCACTGTGTAAGTGTGTGAGATTTTGATTATTTCCTTGGCCACGTACATTTTTGCGGGTTGATAGGGGTCAGCCCCACTTGCAGCACCTATTCTTTGGAGAAAGGTTTCCAAATGCAGTAACCACAAATGCAAAAATGCACGCATGAATGCTGCCTCTACTCACATTTTGCTCATTGAAGACATCAGAATCTCTGTAACCTAACCCCTCCACCCCCGGGAAAGATCAGAGGTGCAGTTCTCCTCATGAATCCTGCAAGTTTATGCTTTTCTGCATAGAATCAGCTGAAGAGGCCCAGCCAAGTTAGGTATTAAGTCTCTGCCTGACTAGATGCTACCTCATTTCGTGGGAAACATTGTTTATTTTTAAATTTTTAAAATCTTGATTTTTATTTTAAATTTTACAAAATTATTCCAGTGTTCAACTGGTAAAATGCTCATAACTCAAAAAATTCTGGGAGGAAATGAAAAGGAATCAGACTTTCCAGATTTAAAATTGTGTTACAGTTGGGTGCAGTAGTGCACACCTGCAGTCCTAGAGACTCAGGGGGCTAAGGCAGGAAGATCACAAGTTTGAGGCCAGGCTTGGCAATTCAATGAGATCCTATCCCAGAATTAAATAAAAGGGCTGGGATGTGACTCAGTGGTAAAGTGCCCCTGGATTTAATCCCCAGTACCAAAATAAAAAGAAAAAAAATTAATGTATTATAAAGCTAAAATAATAAGTTTGATAGTGGCAGAAAAAAGAAAGTCCAATACAGAATTCCAGGGTGTTGGGAATCTAGTATTTAAAGGTGGTAGTACAGGTTAGTAAGGAAGGTATTGATTGTTCAGTAAATAGGTTGAGATTGCTGACCAGTCATTTAGGGAAAAAATTAAATTGGATCCCTAATTTATACCTTACACAAAAAGAATGGATAACATGAAATTCTAAAAAATACATACATAGCCAGGCATGGTGGCACACGCCTATAATCCCAGCTACTCAGGAGGCTGAGACAGGAGGATCATAAGTTCGAAGCCAGCCTGGGCAACTAAGTGAGATCCTGTTCAAAATTTAAAAAATAGGGCTGGGCATATAGCTCAGTTGGTAGAGTGCTTGCCTTGCATGCACTAGGCCCTGGGTTTGATCCCCAGCAACACACACACACACACACACACACACACACACAATAATAGTAATAATAAAAACAATAAGAAGGACTGGGATGTAGCACAGTAGTAGTGGTGCTGGTAGTAGTACTAATAGTAGTAGCAGTAGTAGTAGTTCAATTCCCTGTACCACAAAACAAAAACCATATACAAAAATCCAGATGGAGGAAATACAAATGAATTAGCTGTATAATCTTGAGATCATGTTGGAATTTCTGAGTATGATACCAGTGCTATTATGATATTTCTTCTAGAATAAATTCCTGCTGATAGATTAGGAGGTGTGTTTTAGTCGGGGCCCAGCAGGAACCAGATGGCATGCTCAGATGAGTGACTGGAGGGGTCATGGAGTCACTGCTCCTTCTGGTCTCTTGGATGTTATAGGGCCTCCTCCAGCCCAAAGATGCCCTCATGCAGTTGTTGAGGCCTGAGCTTCTGTGTGGATTTAGCCCCTGCCAGGGTGTTAGACAGTGGGCTTGGTTTCAGACCCACTCATCTTTCTTGGTTTTCCTGGGCCAGCACAAGTGGGGAGCTGCGACCCTTCCTGAAGGGCAAGGCAGGGAACAGAAATCAATTATCAGAAATTGGGCAGGGTAGCTTGTGGAAAGGGCTTCCTCTGTCACAGGAGCTGTGACCTTCAGTGGAGGGAGAGGACAAGTGCTTGACTACGCTCTTCCCTATCCAGTGGTGTATCCCATGACCAGGTACAGTCAGAAGCCAAGGGGCAAGATGACCAGGGATGCAGTTTGCACAGACCAGCCTCTCAGCCTAGGGGGTGGGTATGGCTGTAAGGGACAAACAGAAAATATCCAGCACAAGGCCAAGGAGATGTGATTTCTTACAAGGGTTTTAATGGTGAGTTTTCCTATCAGAAATGTAGTGATTTCCTACCGGACACTAAGCACTAGTCAGCTAAGAGAGCTCCACATCCCATGCTTCACCAACTCTGGGCCTTCTAATCTCGCCAGTGTGGCTGGCTCTGACTCCACAGGCAGGTCTCTGGTCAAATGTTACTTCTCAGAGAAGCCTTCCCTGACTCTGTAGCCAAGAGAGCCACCCTTGACCGAGAGCACCACACTTCCTGTGTCCTATTACCTGCTTTACAAGATTATATTATTTGTCTACCAATTTATCTGTCTCTACCTCCCCAGGTTTGTACCTCCCCAGTGTAAACCTCCCTAGAGCAAGGAACTGGCCTCCTTGTTCATGGTTCTGTCTGTGGTATATTGTGTGTGCACAATTATATTTGGTTAAGTAAGTGATGTGTCTCCCAAACCTGGACGACCATACCCTCCAAGAGTGTGTTGAACTCTGACTTACTTTAAGCATTTCCTAACTCATTGTTTATTTCTTTTCTCTAGCTCCCCTACTTTATGAACGAGCTAACTCTGACAGAACTTGACATGGGGATGGCTGTGCCAAAAATCCTTCAGGCCTTCAAGCCTTATGTTGATCATCAAGGTAACTCTTGACTATTTAGATGGGAATTGATCATTTATATTAGCATCCAGATGTTTCCATTGCTGCAGATTCAATCCCAAGACTTTGTATTTGGAGGGAGCTGGAATCTTTTGAACCATCCTATTTCATATTGAATGTCTTTTGTTCTTAACAGTCACTGTCTTATACAAATGGGGAATATATCCAGGCTCCCTAAACAAGTCCTGCCAGTTTCTTGGATTGTTACAACCTTCAGCTCAAAGATGCCCTCCTGTCAGTTGATGGGGCCTGGGCTCCTGTGCGGGCTGCAGCCCTTGCTGTGTGAGGCAGTGGGCTGACTCAGACCCACTCTTCTCTTAGAGGCTTGTGGGCATCTGCCCCAGCCCTGGCTCCCTGCCAGAAGCTGCCTTTGTTCACATCACTTCCTTCCCACCCCAGCTCCTAGGTTGTAAATTTTTTGACCTTTGTGTTTTATCTCTTTATGTTCCTTATACTCCTAGTAGGTACTGAGTAAGTGCAAGACAGCAACATAAATTCAAATATAATAATGTGAGAGGAAGGCTCACTGCTGGGCAAAAAGCCCATGGAATTGATCTTTAAGTGATATTGGGGATTAAAGCCATGTGTACTCTACCACTGAGCTATACCCCAACCCTTTTTATTTTTATTTTGGGATAAGGTCTTACTAAGTTACCCAGGCTGGCCTCGAACTTATAATCCTGATGCCTCAAACTCTCACATCAGATTGATTTTTTTTTAATTTTTTTCATTGTAGTTGGACACAATGCCTTTATTTTATTTATTTATTTTTATGTAGTGCTGAGGATCGAACCCAGGGCCTTGCACGTGCTAGGCAAGCACTGTACTGCTGAGCCACAGCCCCATCCCCAGAACTGATTTTTTAAACGTGCTACTGATACGGCATTTATGCTACTTTTGTAGATGGAGGGAAAAGTTTGATTTGAATACAGAGAATTTAAATAGATTTATGAGGATAATGGTTTATATGTCGAGCCTGGCATGGTAGTACACATCTGTAATCCCAGCTACTCAAGACTCTGAGGCAGGAGTATTCCAAGTTTAAGCCCAATCTGGACAACTTCATGAGACCTTGTCTCAAGGGGGAAAAAGAATGGGTAGGGATGTAGTTTAGTGGTAGAGCATCCCTGTATTCAATCCCCAGTACTATAACAACAACAACAACAACAAAGATATTTGTGTCATGTGGTTTTAAAAGGATCTGGAAACTTGAAGTGGAACCGTCATTTGACCCAGTTATCCCTCTCCTCAGTATATACCCAAAGGACTTAAAATCATCCTACAGCAGTAAAGCAGTGACACCAATGTTTATAGCAGCTCAGTTCACAATAGCTAAGCTATGGAACCAACCTAGATGCATTTAAACAGATGAATGGATAAAGAAAATGTGTTATATATACATAATGAAATAATACTCAGTCATCAAAAAAGAATGACTCTGACTTTTGCCAGTAAATGGATGGATTTGGAGACTATCATGCTAAGTGAAATAAGGCAATCCCAAAAACCCAAAGGCCAGATGTTTTCTCTGATATTCAGAAGGTAACACACAATAGGGGGGTAGGGGATAGAAGTTAAGTGGATTAGATAAAGAAGAATGAAGGGAATGGAGGGGGGGATGGAAATAGGAAGGGCAGTAGAATGATTGGACATAACTTTCCTATGTTCTATATGAATATACCACAATGAAATTCCACATCATATTCAGCCATGAGTATGGGATCCTAATTAGATATACTCCATGTATGAATAATATGTTAAAATACATTCCACTGTCATATATATATATATTCATATATATATATATATAAATATATAAAAAGATCAAATTTTTTTTGAAAGATAAAAAGTAAGAGGATTTAGACAGGGAAATTTTAGTATGCAGGAGTTAAGTAAGAAAGAGGAGTTAGCCAGATAGGCATCAGCATGCAGGGGAAAGTCTTATGGGTTTCTTTACTGTAGCATCCCTTGCCAGTGAGCCTCTTTCCACTTAAAGCATCGTTACATTATTCTTAAAATGGCTCAGAAACAAGTTTAGGAAAAAAAATAATTACAGCTTTTCAAGAGAGAGATATTTATTTTGAAGTAAATGTTTTGTAGAATTTTTAAACTATAGAAGCTGTTTTTGTCTCTGTGTGGCTGTGTCAGATGGTTCTTGTATTGTATATAAGGAAATAATTTTTCTGCTGTTGTGTACATTTGATGTAAATATGAAGAGATCTTTCTGTCACTATAGGTAGCAGCCCTGCATATCTCTCTAGCAATATTTCAACTGAAAGGGAGCCCATATTTCCATGTTTTTAGCATCACATTGATTGCAGAGAAAGATCAAAGCGTTTGCAAACCCAGAAGTCCATCTGTATGTTGAGATTGCCTGTAACCCCTCAGTATGTCTATACCTTGATGAATCTTTGTGCTCCTGGGTTTGGTCATTTCTGGTCAGCTAAAAGTGAAATTTGAGGAGATTTGGATTCTTTGCAGATGATTTGACTATAGTTTTTTTAATCCCATGCACAATTTTAAAATTGCTTTTGATGTGTTGGTTACATAGCTGGAATCTTCACCTCTTCAGTGTGTAGGAGCTACCTTCCTTTCCTCTGACTCAGGTGCCCTTTGCTCTTTGCCTCTTTAGGAACTGACTGGTAACAAACTGGGAAATGATTAGCTTACACAAACCTCCTGAGAGTCATGCTTTAAAAAAGTAAATAATACATGTGCTCTATTTTCTGATGCCTTAGCAATCTCTTATCTCAGCACTGTCCTTTGCTGAATTAATAGAAATTTCCAAGGAGAGGGGTGCAGGACCACAGGGGGCTTTGCAGCATCTAAGAAGTATCCCTGTGGCTTTGAACTCTGCATCCTCATGGGGCAGCTGTGGTCAGCCTTTGAGGATAATTCCAGTGAGTCTTGAGCTTCTTTCCTGTTCCTCAGGAGCAAGAGCCAGGGTAAGACATTTTACTGTGCAGATCAGGGCATTGCTGGCTTTTAATCCATGAGAGGTTTATTTAACTCCTTTCAGGGCAAGTTTTAGAGATCTGCCTCCTTGTATAACAAGAGAGAAAATGTGACCAGAGAAAGGAACAAAAAAGTCATAAAGCTCATAGGGTTAAGTTTGATCAAATTAGGTTTTTCCACATCTGCAAAGGATGCATGTATGATGGTAAAAGATTAATGAGCATGAAAGAAATACAGCCACACCCAACTTAACGATGGGGATACATTCAAGAACATTAGTTGATTTCCAGGTTGTGCGGACACCATAGAGTGCTTACACAAGCTAAGAAACTGTGACATCACTAGGTGACAATCTTATGGGATTCATCAGTGACCAGAGGTCATTAAGTGGCTCGTCACTGTGTCGTGTGTTGGATTCCATTGCTCTAGGTGGGAACCTTTCCTTTTAGGGATTAAAATCTGGGATGATTTGCTAGAACTGACCCTGAAAAACAGAGCTCAACCTTCCAGGGAAATGTAATCCAGGCAAAGGAGGCTTCAGTAGCTCCAAGGAGAGGCATCTCCAGTAGAATCTGCTCCTGCCCTTTTGAAAAATATTTTCCTAACTTGTGCTTGCTTGTTGGCAGCACATGGCTTGGAAGGGATATTTAGGCCAGAGCCAGGAGGAGGCACTTCTTAGGCAACACACAGTGTGGCTCCCAGTGCCAACTCTGGGGTGAGACTGCTTGGTTCACAGCTCCATTTCTTAGGCAGGTTTCTGAACCTCTTCACTTCCTCAGTGCTCAAATGGGAACCCTCATAGCACCCAGCTCACAGTTTATCTTGAGAGTTATGTGAGTTAACTCGTGAAAGGCACTTCCATGAAAGGTCCATTGACAACTAAAAAATATTTTTTTAACCAAGTTTAAGGGATTGCTAAGTTTTCTGAGGTCTGTTAGAACAGAATATCATGTACATTCTAAGAGCTTAGAAACTCCAGCATCTGGTAGTGATAATATATGATTTGATATTCCATTTTAAGGAGTTTTGTTCTTTAAATGTTAAATATTGACTTTCAGCGAGGGAACCGGAGGAACGGTGGAACAGTGAACATGAGGCCCAGCTAAGGGGAGCGAGGCTGCAGGTTCGTTTACCATCTTCCCAGTAGCAGGTGTTCCGTTAAGCCTGTCCCTGAGAGAACAGTCAAGGCCTTCAGTAGCAGTAAGACAGGGAGCTGTCATTCACTGTCAGTTGTGTAAGACTACCACATTTACATGGCCATGGTAGGAGAGTTACTGAGGCCATGGGATTTGTTCACTAGAAACCCCCAGAGAGAGCAGAAGAATGTCTGTTCGGGTTGTGGCTCTTCTTGTCTCTGGGGATATGCAACCAGGCATGCTTATTGTCTCTTGGGAACCGTGATCTGAGCTGCACCAGGTGGCCAACCCCATCTTTATTCTTTTTTTTTTTAAATATTTATTTTTTAGTTGTAGTTGGACACAATATCTTTATTTTATTTTTATGTGGTGCTGAGGATCGAACCCAGGTCCTTGCACGTGCTAGGTGAGCACTCTACCGCTGAGCCACAATCCCAGCCCCCCCCCATCTTTATTCTTGATCAAGTATGTATTTCCTAAGGGCAGGGTCCACCCCTGTACTTTTAGCTTTAAAGTCCTGCAGTAAGAACTTTGTAAGCACTTTGGGTGGAATGAGCTATTGTTTCTGCTGCAGTCCCTCTGAGCAGTGGTCCTGGTGGTGGTGACTGCTCCTACCCCCATGAAGCTAGAGAGTGGAACAACTTGGCAGATCCTCACAGGAAGACTGACTAAAGCTTGTCATTCACTGTCAGTTGTGTGTCATATGTTGCCAAACAAAGTGCCAACTTTATAGGGGCTCACTGATAATCGGGACTCACCATCTCCTGAGGGCCTCTCATGAGCACCCTTTAGCCCCCTTTCCTGAGTATCTTTTAGGGCCAACTCTAACTTCTGCTTAAAGCATCAAAATTTGTCCTGCTCTTCAACTTTGGCTTTTGTCCTGAGCACTCCCCAGAGCAGGTGATTAGAGAAAGCAGCATTTTAAATGGAACACCTCACTGCAGAGTCTTAACATCTGTCAAGAGCACAAATGAGAAAGACCTGTAACTGCATTCATCCAGAGTAGCTGCATCAAGTTAAGATTGTCTCTTGGAGCAGTGTATGTCCCCGTCTTCACACTGTGGCTACATTTATACGACCCCAGGGGAGACAGCCTTCCTGGTAACCTCATTTCTTCTTTCAATCTTGCAAGGCTCGGGCTTCCTGGCTAGTTTGTCTGGACTCAGAGTTGCGAAAGTCTTAAGTGCTTCCCGGTCCTCCAGGCACTTGTAGCCTGCTCAGTCATTGTCATTTGCCCTCTAATGCTAAAATAGTTTCCTTATCCTCATTTCATTGCAGGCACATCATATTAATTTGTTGAAATATTTATTTGCTGTTCACATCTACTTTTAAATATTCTCAATTCATTCTTGACTATTTTCGCTGGGTGCCAGGATTGAAGGCCTCCTGAGACATATCCAGCACTATAAAACCCAAATCCTTCTCTTTCACAGGATTGGTCAGATGTCCAGGCCATGTCCTGCAATGTCAGATCTCTGGTTGCCCAGTGCAGCCTCTTTCCTGGGAGCAGCAGTAGGCGAGGCCAGAGCAAGCAGTAAGAGTGGGCTGGCCATAGTAGAGAAAGGGAAGCCAGGAGGTGCCAGGAGCTGCTGTCCACAGCCCTCCCCTGAAGAGGCAATGTGGTCTCCCTCTGTGGTTGAGGAAACTGATGCATAGAGGTCATGAAACCCAAGCCCTAGTCCATGTGGCTGGGCTCCATGGTGTTCCCTGGGCCTTATCTGCTTCAGCTCTTGGCAGTGGGGCTGGATCATACCCCAGGGGACCCAGCTCATATTCCAGTGCCTGGGGCCTGAGCCAGCAATTTATTGAGCCTGTGTCCATATCCCTCATGTTAAGCACAGACAAACAAAAGCCTTCCATTTTGGAAAATTTTTTTTTAAATTAAAATTTTTTTAAAACTCTGGTCACTTTAATGTGACAACTTTCAAAGGCAATTCATGCTGTTAGTATTTATCAGAAGCCTGAATAGGATTTCTAAAAGTGGTTATGTTTGAATATAACAGGTAGTTTGAATCTGTTAATTCTCAAGTTTAAAAGAGACAGAGATATTATACAATAATGAATATCTTCATTTTTGATATTCTTTTTCTATTGAGTTTAAATTAACACTAGCCTTTTTGCCCTACTCCCCTTTCTATTGGAAGTGACTAATGAGTGAGTATCTTTATTGAAGCAGATGTGCCCTTTATTTCCAGTAACAGTATTTTGAAGAGCAATCTAGTTAATGTTCTTTAGCTGCTTAATGTAAGCAAGAGGGCAGTTTTGTGAGTGTTGCTATAGTCACAGTTGATCTGCATGTCACTTAATTAAACCAGGTCATTCATGGAAAATAATCACCTTCAATTATGACAAAGAGAATTTGTTGAACACAAAATGGAAATTATTCTGCCTTTAGTGAGGAATTACACCATTAGTGCTTCTTGGGTTAAGTAGTGCTTTTGTCTGAGGGGTGGCCATGTAGGGGAGGGGTCATTTACTGTAATTGCTTGAAAATGCTGCTGTGTGTGAACAGTGGTTTTAGATTAATTTCCTGCTTCCTTTTAGATGTTGTCATTTGTCTGGGAATCTGTAAATGTTTATTAACATTTAAACACCCACTTGAAAGATTATATTTTGATTGGAAGTTCATGAGGTATCACAGAGCAACTGATTCTGAAAAATCAGAGTGTGCCCTACCTTACCTGCCTTACCTGCCTACATTTCAGACACTAGTCAATGGCCATTCCAGGGGAATCCACAAGCTAAAAGCCTCTTAGATTTGGGTTTATGGTGATAGCATCTTTAAATAGATCTTTAAACTCAGAAACAAAGTGGTTACCCAACTTTACCTGGATAATTGTGAGAATTGAAAGGTAATCCTTATGTTTCCATTATGAGGCAATTTCCAGAAAGAAAGAGGTTAAAAAAGTTTTTGTCACAAACTATAGTTAATTGTGCTCCGTTTTTGTGTACAATGAGTCAAAATGTATAACTAATTAGAACAAATTAAAAAGAAAGATGGGGAGGGCTGGAGTTGTGGCTCAGTGGTAGGTTGCTTGTCCAGCACGTGCGAGGCCCTGGGTTTGATCCTCAGCACCACATAAAAAAAACAAAATAGGGGCTGGGGATATAGCTCAGTTGGTAGAGTGCTTGCCTCACATGCACAAGGCCCTGGGTTCAATCCCTGTACCACCAAATAAATAAATAAATAAAGGGGGGCTGGGGATGTGGCTCAAGCAGTAGCGCGCTCGCCTGGCATGCATGTGGCCCGGGTTTGATCCTTAGCACCACATACAAACAAAGATGTTGTGTCCGCCGAAAACTAAAAAATAAAATATTAAAAGTTCTCTCTCTCTCTCTCTCTCTAAAAAAAAAATAAATAAATAAAAAATAAAATAAAAAAGGTATTGTATCCAACTACTTCTAAAAGAAAATAAATAAATATTAAAAAAAGAAAGATGGGGGGAAAAGTTTTTGTTCCCATACTTTGTACCCAATTAAATCTGACCCGTTTTTCTGCACTCTAACCCTAGGAACTTTAGGAAAGACAGTGTTCTCTTCTGGGTCTCTTGGAGACAGCCTGGCTCATGGGGAAGTCTCTGCCCCCTCCCTTCTGCCTTATAACCAGCAGCCCATCAGCAACCCATCTGACTCTGCCTGCATCAAGCCATTTCCTCCTGTGAGGAGAAGCCAGAGGATGGGGTCCTTCCAGTGCTGATGTGTGCGCTGAGTTCACTTGACCATCGTGATGGGGGCAGTGCTGGCTGCTTGCCAAGCACGGAGACCATTTCCTTCTTTTCTCCCACGCATTGATCGTAGAGTGGTCTCATAGCCCTCTTCTTGCTAGTGTGATGCTGACTTGGATACTTGAAAATATGTTTTTATACTGTCATTTAAAGTCATGTTTTTGAGGGGACGGAATAAAACCTCCTGTTTTTTCACTATTTCTCCAGGACTCTGGATCGACTTGGAAATGTCCTACAATGGGTCCTTTCTGATGACTCTTGAGACCAAAATGAATTTGACCAAACTAGGTAAAGAGCCTCTTGTTGAAGCCCTGAAGGTTGGAGAAATTGGCAAAGAAGGGTAAGGGGCTATATATGAACTTACTAACCCAACCCTGGGGGACCAGCCTCTCCCTGCAGCCTCTGTGAAGCAGGTCTGAGGTGTGGGAGCCTCTGGATGGCAAGCACACTTCAGTGTAAGTGGGCCACAGAACAATTTGGGGACAATTTACAAGCTTTTCCCAGGGACTATGAGTTCTCATCCCCTGCTCAGCCATGACAGTGTCTTCTGCCTCAACACTGTGAGGGTCACAGTCACGGGGCTGGGTAATAAGTCTTGATTACCCCAGAAAGCACCACTGACAAGCAGGGTAGACTCGTTAGAGTGACAAAGCACTCTGCAAATCAAATCATCGCTTCAAAAGCTCTTTCAGTTCTCGGCCATAGACAGCGCTGTGTGGAGTAGGCTAAGGCCCCTTGGGGAGATATTGCTTTAATCACCAAGTCAGAATTATTTATAGAGATGGTTGATTTTTTTTTTTTTTTTAGTCAAGAGGGTACTCTGCAAATGTTCTGAGAAACATTTTCCTAAAATAATACAATATGAATTTGCTTAGTAAATTCTTCTCTTTGTAAATAGTGTATCTGTGTCCAGAGGTGTCTGATTTAGAAATATTCCAAAATTGTGAGATACTTAAGGGAACCTAATATTTTTAAATTTTTGCTTTAATGCGTACAGGAAATAAGCTAGAACTTTTATCATTCCCACACACCTTGAAAGTGGCTGCTCTGATTACATGTTTAAGTGATATCATTGTTTTTATCAAATTAAAAATGTATTTCTTGTTCTGTAGTTCCTTTACATGGACTAAACAGTACAATGACAGGGAAATAACGTAAGGGGCCACCTTCACAGGAGCTAAATGCAAGACCCAGGCTCTAGGATTTCTGCTTAGCTACAGTACTGACCTACTGCTCTCATTCATGCTTCATGTGATAATGGCAGACTGGGGGAGCTGGGTTATACCTGCAAGATTATTCTTTTGCTTTGATTATCCTGATTTATGCAAGTTACTTATTAAAATATTCCTATTTTAATAATTGGAGAATTTCACCTGCTGTGTGCAATCTAACTTATATCTACTATTTTCCTTTCATTTTCTGCTATTTGTTAAAATGTATTTGGATTCGGCAATCTGTGGATTTGTATTTTCTGGTGAGTGGTACTTATCAACTCTCCCTGTGGCATTCATACCCTGTAAGTGCTGAGTCTTGTTTGGTCCCATGTGAAGGCATGAAGAGGCCTGTCTTTTCATTGTGTTCCTAGACATGAAGGCATAGTCCAGGTCCTATAAGGACTGGGGTTGGGAATAGAGGCAAAGCTTTGCTAACAGGTAAAATCTCACAGACTTCCCCAGTTAGAATTACTGGGGTCCTGAGCTAGCCCTCACCACTTCTTGTCCATTGCCCCAAGCCTGTCCCCATGTACAGCTGAGCACCATCCGTCCAGCCTCGTGACAGCAGAGTTGCAGAAGCAGTCTTGAAAATGAGGTCTCCAGGGCTGGGGTGTAGCTCATTGGTAGAGCATTTGCCTATCAAGCATGAGGCCCTGGGTTCCATCCCCAGCACCACCCCCCAAAAATGGAGGAGGGGAAGAAAAGAGGTCTACTAAATGGTAGCAGTGACACAAGTTTCAGTCAGAAGGATTTATGCAGGGAGCCCTTTCTGAAAACAGCTCTGTGCCGGCACAGAGGTTCAAATTCTCCACTGGAAAGGGATTCTTGGGCATCAGGTTGCCAATAAGGCCAGGTCCCTGGTCCTGGTCACTTAGGCATTCCACATTCACTGCCATTTATGTAGCTCACAAACTGTGACTGATCAGAGGGTGCACATATTCCTAAGCAAGCCATGGTCTCCAGACTGAGTGAGAAAACCCTCGGCTTTAGGAATGTGGTGGTATCAACTTTAATTTTTAATATACTTCTAAAGTATATTTTTTCCTAGAAGAGTTTGGTATAAAATGTTTTGCTTCTTCCTGTGAGGATGTTAAATTATATATTGATGTGTAATTGCCTGCCATTTATTCTTAAAAGCAAAACTGGGTGTGGTGGCACACATATTGCAAGTTTGAGGCGAGCTTCAGCAACTTAGTGAGACTGTCTCAAAGCAAAAAATAAAAAGAACTGGGAATGTACCTCAGAGGTAAAGTGCCCTAGGCTTAAGCCCCAATATTCTCTTCCCCTCAAAAAAAGCAAAGTATACAATCTAAAAGCACTTCATCTGGGAAGGAAAAGACCTAGGAAAATGGACCCTTAATTATTTTTTTGCAAAAAGAACCCCTTGGTGATCCTGAGCACTCTGGAGTCTTCTTTCAGAAGATGCCTCCACAGGCATCATTTGACTCAAAGTTTCTGGGAGCCTCTAAAAACCCATCTGTGGTTAAGAACCTAATCCCAGAAGTGATTCTAGAATCCACTTCTTCACTTCTTCAGTCGTGAGCAGTTGGGATCACGTTGAGGCAAAGTGGCAGAGGAGAGACAGAAGGCAGCACACGTAGTAGCTTTTATGAGGCATGTGATCTTTGCTACTGACACTCTCCTTAATATTAAATCTCCAAAGAGCAGACTGTGGGATGGGCCAGTAGTGGCCCTCTTCCCCAGGCCTCCCTTCAGCCTGTGATCACCTGTCCAGGGCCCCACTCAACACAGGGGTTTGTTTCCAGTGTCTGGCTCTGGCAGGGCCTAAGCTTTATCTTGCTTTTTTCAGTGCCCATTCAAGTGTGCAAATGATTATACTTTGGGGAGTCTCTGAGGAGATGCTACTCCACCTGGAAGAAGTCTCTTCCTGGCAGAAAGTCTGTTGTTACCTGTGACATCTGAGGGCAAGATGGAGAAATTGAAATCTGTGTTGTTTTGTTCCAGTGAAGTCCCTTCCCTTTGAAATGTGTGCCCACTGTGTATTCATAGACATTTTTCTTCTAGGTTTTGCCTTTCCTAGATAGCTTTTTTGTCATACATTATAGTTAACATCAGTAAGTATTGGAAATGGAATTCAAGAGCTGGGAGTATATAGTTCACTGATAGAGCATTTGCCTACACACCAAGGCCCTGGGTTTGCTCCCCAATCCTGCAAAAAACAAATGAACAAATAAAAAAAGGAATTCAGGTAGTGAGCTGAGCAGACTAAACCTTAGGAAAGGACCTGAAGAGGACCCATATGGATCAAAGGAAAGCATTCTGCATGTAAGGTATTGGCCTGTTCCTTCCTCACTACTGCAGCTTGGGCCTGTGTGCAGGTTCTCACAGGGCGACCCCCTCTGACCTCCATATTGGGTCACTGGTCTGTTTCACCATCCCTCGACCCCCAGACCCCTGACCTTCTGGGAGCCAAGAACTCGCAGTTTCCACTGTGACTTGGTCTTGTTGATGAGTGTGTACTCATGTGTGTCTGCAGCAGAGGCATGGGACTGAATTCCTTTAAGTTAAAGAACATTTTTTTATAAATGTGGTCTCTTATAGGGCTGCAGAATCTAATTACGGTCTCTTCACTTAGAGCATTTTTAAGCTGCATTTTAGAATTGCCTCAGGAATCTGACATTCTTTTAACCATCCTGAGGGATAGCAAGTCATCTTGCTTTGTAGATGGTATAGACATAACTAGTCTTTGTCAGAGGTCATGGTGATTATGAAACCAAGAAAAAAATTTTTTTCATTCAAGGCAAAGCATTGGTGATAAAAAAGATCACTTTTTTTTTGTGCCTGACCCAAACACATTCCAAAAAGATGTGCAGCAGAGGCCACATGACTGGAACAAGCCTGTTCAGGTGGCTCTCTGAGAGGGCAGCACACTCATATGGAATCTCATGTGTGTTTAAAGCCGTTAGGCCCATCACCTTCAAACACATCTTCTATGAGGATGTGCAGTGTGTCTTTCTCTGAAGTTCTTGCTGGCATCATGAGGTCATCATAAAATGCATGTTCAGTTATAAACAAATATCAACCAAACATTGAGCCACACATGTGGCTCAGTACTTATTGGAAGTATTGGTGTTGCATAATACAGCTCCTAGTGCAGACCTTAAAGGTACCACTTGGTCAAAATCAGAATTTCACATCTTCTGATCTGCTTTAACTGATATAGCATTATCTAAATTCCTCACTTCAGACCAACAAAATTTGTCCTGTTCTCTGTACTACAGAGGATTAGTTAGGGAACCTGAGAGCTCACTGCAGGCTTAGCCTTTGGCATCTTCTGCCCAGGGTCTGGAGCTGCCAAATGACACACACAGATGGGAACACAAGGGAGTGGCTCAGCAGATCTCCCTCTGATCTTAGGTCCTGCAGGCAGCCCTTTGTGCTGTGTGGATGGGGAGCAGACCCTGTCCTGTCGAAACAGAGCAAGGCCTGAGAGCCAAAGAGCACAGCCACTTGTCTTCTGATGGAGAGGTAGGGTGGCTGTGTGTGGATTGGCAGTTTACATCTCTGACTGTCCTCATCTCAAGACACAGGGGTTAGGCTCTCTTGTGAATCATGTTTTGTGCTGTACATTGGATTTGAAAGATCTCCGTGAGGGCTGCTAACCACAGAATTCTCTGAAATGGCTCTGTGAACAACCAGTGCCCAGAAACCCTTCCTGAACTAGCCAGGCTTGTGATGGAAGGAGGGAGAGAGAGGCAATCAGGTGCTGCTGGGGGATGGGATGAGGGGCCTTTGTTCTGCAGACAGAGCTCGCCTTTACTGTGGAAGTCCAGCTTGCTGGCTCTAGGGCTGGCTCTAACATTTCAGAGCTGGGGTTGAGCAAGATCCTCATGTCCTTCCAGAGAGGACATTCTTGGGATCCTCTTACAACTGGGCTCCTGTTTCAGATGTGGCGACTTCAGTCCTGCCCTCCTGTACATGATGCGGGGGTACTGCTGGCCCTTCATGGCCACAACACATGTGCACTCTGCCCATGTCCTCAATGGTCAGGAGATGACTGCCCTGGTGGGCTTCTGGTGGCCCAAGAACGGTGTCAAAGGAAAACCAAATTGCTGCAGCTGCAGGAAGACAGGGCCTATCTCTACTGTAAAATTACCCTATCTCGATAATTTTGTCCTTATCAACAATTTAAGGCCCAACCTCTGCTTAGTGAACATTTGGTTGCCTAATTCTGTTCAGAAGAACTCTCTCCCTCATCCATTTTATCCTGATTTAGTCCCTGAGCCTCAGAGACAAGTCCCTGTCAGTACTGTTTGTGGCAAAGCCACAATCCAGGAAGGGAGAGCTGCCTTGGTGGAGCTGAAGGTCAGCTAGGAAGCCCCCAGTGTCCCTCAGCAGGGAGCCTTGGTCTCTCACCTCTGCTGCTGATCCAGTAGGCCGATGCCTCTGGAAACTGGAGTTTCCAACCCAGAGAAATTAATGAGGGTTGTTGTTCTCTGGTGAGGCTTTCTGTTATTTTAGTAAAAGGAATGATCTTTAAACTTGTACTTCTCCATGAAAGTCCCTGGGTTCTCATGTCACTTGCTTCCTCAAGTCCTTTGAGACTTACACCTTGTGGTTGTTGACTTTTTCTGTGACCCTCAAGAGATGGGGCAGGTGGTGTGGGGGGGTAAGATAGATATGTAGTTTCACTAGGAAGGAGTCTTGGGTCAAAACTAATTTGGGAGGTAATGAAAACAGGAAGCACTACAGTTATTGACTCAGCCAGAGGCAAGGGACTTGCCCGCATGTCCTCATCATCAGTGAGAGGTGGTCCTGTTACCAGCATTAGCTGTCACCTCACTCCTGCAACCATCCATACTTTCCATTTACCCTCCCACTTGGCTCCTGCTGCATTACTGACAAAATCACCACCTGTCCTGACGCATGCTCAAAAGCAAATTCTTCTGGGCCCAAGTCCTCTTCAATCCTGTTAGGGGACTTGGTGCTGGAGTCTCCTGGGGAAGCAGGTCAATCCTTGCACTCTTGGATTGGGCCTCTTTCTTGGTTGGTTGGAGACAATGACAGTGTGTAATAGAGGTGCCATCTTGATCCCCTGTGGTTGAGCCTCTGTGTGTGTGTGTGTGTGTGTGTGTGTGTGTGTGTGTGTGTGTGTCTGGGCATGCGCGGACATGCATACAAGTGCTCTGAGAGCAGTGGGCCAGCTGCACTGCTGACTGTCCCCTGTTCAGTTGCAGGCCCAGGGCTTACTGTCTAGCCGACAGTGATGAGGAATCCTCTAGTGCTGGCTCCTCTGATGAAGATGATGCACCAGATCCCAGTGGGGGAGACAAACAGCTCCTCCCAGGGGCTGAGGGGTAAGTGGATAAGGGCTTCTGGAGACTCCAGGGGTCAGGGTGGCAAGTTGAGAGTAAACCTTTTTTTCCCCTCTTTCCTCCATAATCTTTTCCTCCTTAACAGTGAGTTGAGTGATTTTTTTGCATTAATAGCCAGTGTCAGTGGCTTGTTTAAATTCCAAGTCACAGAGAGAAAAGACTTGTATAGCTTTTCTTTCTTAAGAGGGTACTGACACCATGGCTCTCTCTTGCTGTGGGTAGTCCCACAGCAAGAGAAGGTGAACTGCATGCTCACTGTGCAGAGCCCTCCCTGGATCTTCAGAGGGGCCTACCCTGCACACCACCTCCCCCTGGTGCCCAGTGGAGAGAAGAGAACCTCCCTCTCCTGAAGCTGGACCCACTTGCTGCCCTGGAGCTACTAGTCCCTACAAAGCTGAAACCATTCAGATGATATCTTGGGTGTATTTTTTAAATATGAATGACTTAGCTGATCTTCTAGATTATGAACTTCATTTAGGGGCTCTCTTTGTTACTTGGATAGCAGAATTATCAGAGTGCTTAAATAGCCTGTCTATAAGGATCTTTGAATTATTAAAAGGGAGCTGAAGAAACTTAAGATTACTGAGAAGTCAGATGATTCAGAAACTTTTGTATAAAAATATTGATTTAGCTGAGTGGGTGGCACACACTTGTAATCCCAAGCTACTTGGAATGCTGAAGCAGCAGGATGGCAAGTTCAAGATCTGCCTGAACAACTTAAAGAGACCCTGTCTCAAAATAAAGTTTGAAAAAGGGCTGATATAGCTCAGTGGTACAGTGCTTTGCTTGTATGAATGAGGCCTTGGGTTCAATTCAATACCCAATACTGAAGGAAAAAGAAAATATCTACCTATTTACTTTTAAAATCCTAGAGAAGATGGGTAGAGAACCTTTGAGAAGCTGTTGCTAAAAAGTTTGTGTGCATTATTTTAAATGTACTAATTGATCTTCTTAAGAATGATTGTTTGGGGCTGGGGGTGCAGTTCAGTGACAGAGGGCTTGGCCAGCTGCACAGGCCCTAGATTTGATGCCCAGCACTGCAAAAAAGAAAAAGAAAAAAAAGGAAAGAAAGAAGAAGACTTTTCCCTTTACACATAGTATTCCTGATGCTCTGGAGCTGTGGAGGATTTTTAAAACAAATATCCCCTCTTTACAGGGCGTTTTAGGTAGATATGGCCTGACACAGAAGCTTATTTTCTTGATCTTCTAGCTTGTCAGTTTGATGTAGCATTTTCCTTTAAGAAGTTCCAAGCCCCTTGAAAAGTACTTGCACCTTAGAGTTTATATGACACCTCCCAAAGACAGGCAGTGAGTCACTGTTTTGTATCCCTATTGGTGCAGCCTGGTTTGCCGTTTACTGTTTGGAGATGGTGGGATTTCACTTAAGAAGACATGAACTTGTATTCAGCAACTTGAACAGCAATAAGGGTTGGGGGGTGTGGCTTTTCCAAATTGAGGACTTTGTCCAACTCTCTCCATTGTCAAGTCAGGTGCTCTTAATTCTCATCTGAGGGAGATTTGACTCCCATCATGGGGTCATTTGCCAATATTATAGAGATTTTTGATTGTCATGAGTGGGGAGTCTGCTGTTGCCATTGAAATAGGTGAGGCCAGGGACAACTAAAAATTCAACAGTACACAGGACGGACCCCCCCTCAACCCAGAATTACCTAGTCCAGAAAATCAGGAGTGCCATGGTTGAGAAACTGCTGTCAAGTAAGGTGAACACAGAGCCATGAGGTTTTGTTTGTGAAAGAGCAAAGCCTATACTAACATCCTGTTTTGTTCCTTGTCTGAAGATACGTTGGAGGTCATCGAACGAGTAAGATTATGAGGTTTGTTGATAAAATCACCAAGTCAAAATATTTCCAAAAAGCAACAGAGACAGAGTTCATTAAAAAGAAGATTGAAGAAGTCTCCAATACCCCCTTGCTGCTAACTGTTGAAGTACAAGAATGTCGAGGAACCCTGGCGGTCAACATTCCACCACCCCCAACAGACCGAATATGGTACGGGGAGGGTCCTCAAAGACAGCAAGTGATTCCTTTTGTTGCATGACCATAAACATCCCACCCAGCCTGCTTAACTTTGGGATTAGGGCAAGTACCATGGACAGGAGCTTTTTCCCACTATTTTAATGGAACCCCAGTATTCGTTGTAAATTTGATCGCGCTTTCTTCTGTGAATGGTTAATTCACATTTAAGGATCCATCTTCACATGTCAGAAAAAGTTAAGGTGAATGCTTGAATTTTATGGGATGAGCTGTTTTTATTCTCAATCCTCCTCCACCCTAAAGATTACTCCTCTACCAGTGATAACAGCTGCCCTTTGTAGCAAACTGGTATTCTCTGTCCTGTATTCTCTGACCGTACCACTTGATTAATTCTCACAGCTTCTTGGTGGGGTAGGAGCCCATTTTCCCCACTCAGCAGGTGGGAATTACACATCCAAGTAAAGTCCAGGTGGTTAGAGAGAATCCTGAGTTAGATCTTGACATCCAGGAGGCTGGAGCACACGTACTTGGTGCTTGTGGTAGGAGGTCTATCCAAGAAGTTGGTTCTCATCTCCACCTGCAGGTTAGAATTACATGGGGACTTGTTAAAAATACAGATATGCCTGGCCCATAGGTCAGGCTTTGGGGGAGTTGCAGTGATTAACCCAAGGTTGAGAATCATTGAAATAAATTTTTCATAAGTCCAGCATCTCTTTGTGAATCTCAGTTTTAAAATTGGCAATCTGTGCTGGGGTTGTGACTCAGAGGTAGAGCGCTCACCTAGCACATGCGAGGTACTGGGTTCGAGCCTCAGCACCACATAAAAATAAATAAAATAAAAGTTTTTTAAAAATTTGGCAATCTAAATCCTATACAGTAGGTATAGTATATACAGTAATTGCAGAAGGAACTGCATTGTATCATAAACTACACTCTTACTATACTATAACTGTGATCCATCCCAGAGGGAAACCAGCATGCTGTGCATATCCATTGTATCCAGAGGCTCTGTAGAAATAATCAGAGGAGGAATGATAACACTGGTGTTTCCCAGGATAACTTAACACCTTTTTAGATTTTATTTTCTAAAACTCATATGGTTAGGTAGAGAGAGATTGAAAAATGAGTATGATGAAAAGACAAAAAAAAAAAGACCATAATCTTATCATTTAGAAATATTTCTTTTTAAACAATGAGTTGGTAAAATATTTCTTCTCCTTACTGCCAGCCTTTTAGATTTAGCAATTATAAATGGCACTGCTCAGTAAGGGACAAAATAAAGGCCTCTCGGCTAGTGCTGCCCATCACTGCTCCAGTGCTGAACTCTCTGCTGTGGAACCGCAGAGATAACTAAAGATAGGGAGAGCACTTAGAAATGTTTGTAGCAATTTGACATTGTATTTCTAAGACACTGGTTCATGACAGATTAACATCCTTAGGTAGTATGATAGCACACAGTGTCTTGTCTACTTTGCTAACAGTTCCGAGTGCCAGTCTGCTTCCCAGGAGGCCATAAAATATACAATGTGGAGTGTGGGGAGAAGAAGCAGGTTATAGAATGTCCTCTGTCTACGCATGCTTAGGAAGATGTGGGGAAAATTGACCCCACTCCTCTCAATGGTCCTTTCTTGGAGTTGACATTCAAAGAAAGGCTATGTCTTTCAAGTTCCAGTTTATACCCTTATGTTTTGGCTTTTGTAATATACATTATCTTATTTTATGAAAATTTAACAAATTACTATTTGGGGGGAAAACAAAAACCACAAAAGAATTTCCAGATCATGGACTTATGCTTCCTGGCTTTCCCATTGCATCAAAACTGATCTAAATCCATCATAGCGCTGTCCAGAGGACACAGGCAACTCACAATTCACTCTTGCTGTGCTGAATTGGCTTTAGAAGGGATTCTCAGAATAAGAGAGCACTTCAAGTAGTAATAAAGTCCCATGTGAATGAGGAGTGCTTGCCATCAGTGCTTGTCTACTTCTTTTCTCTGCTTCTAAATGTGGTTATTACTTGTTTTCTTCAAAAAGGTATGGTTTCCGGAAGCCGCCCTATGTGGAGCTGAAAGCTCGGCCAAAACTTGGAGAGAGAGAAGTGACTTTAGTTCATGTGACAGACTGGATAGAGAAGAAACTAGAGCAAGAGTTTCAGGTAAACCCACAGTGTTATCTGTGTTTCACTCCAAGTATGAAAGCTCTGGGTAGAACAGAGATCCTGAACTCACTTCTGGGTCAGGTATCCTCTTTTGAGAATCCAGTGAAAACCATGGACCTATTGGACATGTCAACACGTGTCTATAATCCCAACAGCTCCAAAGGCTGAGGCAGGAGGATCACAATTCAAGGCCAGAGTCAGCAATTTAGCAAGGCCCTAAGCAACTTTGCTCAAAAAAAAAAAAAAAGGACTGGAGATAGGCTCAGTGGTTAAGTGCCCCTGAGTTCAATCCCTGGGACCAAAAAAGAGAAAATAAAATAAAACAAACTACTTAGTTTGGACCTTCATCCCAGAGACAACACATATGATTAAACATGGGCATAAAACAGTGCTTCATTTATAAGATAATTTTATGTGTGAATTTTTGCAGTAATACTCAATCCTCAATAATACTTTAAAGCACAGTTGTCCTTCAGGACTTTGTGGATTAGCAAAGGAGTTGTTTACTTTATGATGAATTTCACCTTTTGAAAAAGACTACTTTCTTTTCATGATAGTATATTTTGTTACCATTTTTCCAAAAATTATTTTATTACTTAAAAGCAATTAATAACCATTTTCAAAAGTACAGTCTCAAGAGCTGGGGCTATAGCTCAGTGGTAGAGCTCTTGCCTAGCACATGTGAGGCATTGGGTTCCATCTTTAGCACCACATAAAAATAAACAAACAAAATAAAGGTATTGTGTCCATCTACTAAAAAAAAAAAGTACAGTTTCAAAAGCCCTGAGGCATATTCACAGAACATTACTAAGTAGTCTTCAGAGGAGACCTAGATGTGGGTCAGAGAGCCAAATGATGACATCTTGTACCAGTAAACCAGTTGGGACTCTCTGGACTTTGTCCCTCCCATGTAAAGTTTGGAATTGACCAGATGGCAACACCTGGCTGCCTTCAGGGAAGTCGCTCCCTGCCCTGGTGTGGTATTCATACCTTGCTCAGTTTGTTCAGTTCAACAAACATTTGTGGAAACCCTTCCATGTCCTAGGGACCAAGTACCCTGGGAGTCCAAGAGGAATCAGGCCCCCCTCCAGATATCTTCTACATCCTTGGAGTTTGCTCAGCCAGAGTGCATTCTCCACGCCTGTTTTCTGTATTCTGCCATCAGACATAATGCAGTGTAGCTGAGGCCTTGGAATGAGCCATTCTCACCACATTTTGATCAGATGTTTTGTTTTGTGGTGTAGTGAGTGGATCAACCCAGGGCTTCGTGCCTGCTAAGCAAGTGCTCTACCACTGAGCTGTACCTCTAGCTCCTTAATAAGTTATTTGAAGCATAGTTGTCTTTCAATTTTTTGTGAATTAGCAAACAACTTGTTTACTTTGTAATGAATTTTACATTCTGAAGAAGACCTACATCCTTTTCATGATGGGATATTTTAAGATTTTTTCAAAATCATATTGTTATTTAAAGTTAGAGGGCTGGGGCTCAGTGGCAGAGCGCTTGCCTAGTATGTGTGAGGCACCACATAAAAATAAATAAATAAAGGCATGGTGTTCATCTATAACTAAAAAAAAATTTTTTAAGCTAGAGATTAAATATAACTGATAACCCATTTCTAAAAAAGCTTACTGTTATCACCAAGTGGGAAAGTTCTTTGAACCTAGTTTGGAAAAAGACTCTCATGCTGTTAATTTTTTCCTTTCTCTTGTATCCCTAGATCCTACATGGGAATTTGGGTGGGTGGGTCATCCCTTTTAGTAGGGGTTATTGGACTCCAAGGAGCAAGAGGAGGGAAAAGAGGGCAGAGATTGGATGCTGGTGCACTCAACACAAGTTGGGAAATGGAAGGATAGCTGTTTTTCTCTACCATAGCACCTCACTTGGTTTTTTGTGTATGCTTTTGTAAGAGTAATTATGGAAGATTGAGTGCATTGACAAAATTCATATATAAAATTATTTTATAAACAAGCAAAGCACCATTATATAATCAACCAGATTATCCTTTGGGCATTAACTGTAGTAGGATTTCTTTTATAGATATCTTTGTGTGGTTTGGGTTTGGAAAAAAAAAAAGTTAGCTTACATTTTGTTGATAACATTTAAAATAAATAAAAATACATTCACTTGGAGTATGTGTTCTGGACATAATTTGGAAATATTGTCAGCAGTTAATCTAGTTCTCCTAAATTAATGTTGTTGAATGCTTGTTATTTTATCCAGTGTTTCTGCTTCAGAATACTGGTTCTTCATGCACTGGTGTAATTCCTTGGCTTTTTCTAAACTGAAGCATGGTGGAGGAATTGGTTTGGAATGTGTGGGTAAAGTTTTCTCACATATACATATATTTTTAACTTGTCTAAAGCCTAAAATTATCAGAACAAAAGAGGGGGACAGCCTAACAAAGCATTATTCCACATGGCTGTTCTTTAATATCTCCCTACAGAAAGTTTTTGTCATGCCAAACATGGATGATGTTTATATTCCTATAATGCATTCAGCCATGGACCCTCGCTCTACTTCCTGCCTCCTGAAAGACCCGCCTGTGGAGGCTGCTGACCAGCTGTGATGGGTGAAGATGAGATGTTCCCAGTATTATGAGACCTAGCTCCAGGTGTGGGGTTCGTGGCTGCCATCTGTGCTGTGGTCCTGGCCTTTACTTGTGCCACAGCTGTTGTCTCTTCAAGGACTGCTTATGCCCTCTGCCTGCTGGTGCCCATTCCACTGTGAGGTGTCATTCCCCGCATCCGGTGACAGGTGTCTGGATTGCCTGCTGCAAAGCTTTGATTTGGCAAAGGAGAGCGGAAGAAACATCATGATGGGTCCAGAAGTTAAGTGACTCACATCGTGGCTTTTTTAAAAAGTCTACCAGTTTTTGTGGCAGCAAACAAGCACATTCAGAGCAAAGCTGTTCAACTGGAAGGCTTCCCCTTGCCTCCTCAACTCCTCCAAAGCTTTTCCTCAGGCAGCTGATGCACAATGGAACTTTTTCACTCGACACTGTACACAATTGCAGCCCTCCACATTCCCAGAATGTCAACATGGTATTGTGTGGAGTGGAATTTTGTGAGCCATTTCATTGTTGGTAAAGAGACAGGCATAGTAACTTTTTTTTCATGATTATTGTGCATTTTGGAAGCAAGTAGCCATAGAATACATACACTAACACTTTCAGCTGGGGTGGAGACAGTGAGATTTATGTGAACGTTATTAACGGCAAAGCCATGAGATCAAACCATCCCAAGCCTTTACCAGTGAGGTACAATCACCTTGCTTCTAATCCTGATTGTTTTCCTGAGACATGAGCTTATGTGACAAAGTCAAACAGTGCACATAATGACTGTATCTCCCTAGTATAGATGGGGTGGGGCCAGAAAGCCAGAGCCATGGTCTTTCCATCTGGCATTTCCTGTGTGCTCCAGAAAGCTTCATTTAGGAATCTGAATGCTTTGTTAATTTAATTGGTCTGGGAGTTTTGTGGGCAGTTCCTTTCTCATGGCCAAACAGAGAACTGCTGTATAATTATTTTAAGAGTCAAGACCAAACATTTGCTCAACATCAAACACTACATCTCAAAACAGACATGTGACTTTTCTTCTTTAATGTTGCCAACTTAATTTTGTGCATCTGTGTCATAATGTTTAGTTTACAAGTTTGGGGGCTAATTGTATAATTTGCTTTGAGAAGTAAACTTAATTCAATTTATTGTTTAAAGCTGCATCCAATGTCAATTACCTTGGATAACTTTTAAAACTCACATCTGTGGACAAAGCTAATAGTGGTTTTGTAAACAGCACCTTGCCTGAACATGACTTTAAAGAAATTAATATATTGAAAAAATGTATTTGAACCCTTGATTATTGCACCATTAAAACATTTGACTTAAATTATTTGACCATTCCACCCAGTGTACTGTTCTAATTTCTCATTGTGTAGGCTGATTTACCTGTTAAGAGTCCGCATATCTTTTTCACTGGTCTGTAACTTTTGTGCAATAACTAAAGGCAAAGGACTAGATGCACTACTGTGTAGAGATTACAGGACTGTACCCTATTGCACTTAAAAATAGTATGTGGGGATTTACAATAGCTTGCATTGTTTCACAAAATAAACATCTCATGTCAATACTAGATAAGCATCTAAGTTATTTCTACTAAATCCTGTTTAGATAAGGACAGAATACAGAATGCTGGGTACTTGGGCTGCTGCCTGGCAATAGTAGCCTTCATTTACTGGATGGTCACTGTACTAGTCCTTTTAAGTATCAGAAGATTAAAATTATATAAAGATCTAATTGGCTTTTCTTTATAATTGAGGAAGCCTTCGTTGTACAAAATGATTTTGAGCTTCCTCCTGAAGAAACATAACAGTGGGTTTTTTAAAGATGGAACTATCTGACTACTTTTTGAAAGGCTAGGAGACTTCTTTTGGTTAATAATTCAGGTAAACTGGAACGTTTTTAGGAAAAACTGGTCCAGACCTGCTTCCCTAAAGCATCAGTACAATTATGTGGCATCTTTGCGACCTTGTGTGGCTCAATCAATACAATGACCCTCAAAACTTAATCGGAGTCCTCATTCTTCCTCACTTCACATTTTGAGAACCCAATCTCTTTTGCCCTTCAACACTAGGCCAAGTGCAAGATCTCAACTGGAAAACTATGAGGTTGCGTGGTCTTTTAGGTACAATGCATTTCAGTCACCCCGAGTTGCTCAGGTTTCTTGGGATAATTAGCTTCCCCAAAATTTTAGGCCCACTGTCGTCAAGCCGCTTGCCAGCTTTTTTATATCACAGCTACACCTTAGCCAGAAATTAAAACTCAGATCCAGGCCGAAGCCAGTTCCCATCAAATCCTATTGCTCAAGATCTACATCAGTCTCCCCTCTTGCCATTCCACAGCATGCAACTAAACCCGCACATCTCACTAATCCCATACTTAGGGCTTGGGACTTAGTGGAGCGACAAATGTATGCAATTTGGGAGAGGAAAATAACGGGTACACTCACACAAAATACGCAGTGGGGCCTATGGCTATCTCCGTCATCCCCCAGGACACTGCAGCTGAATCCTCCCTGTAAACTGCCCACCTTCAGCAGCATCGATGCTGATCCTGGGCATGGCCATGTAGCTCGCGGTTAAAAGGGCCGCCAGCGAGAGGCAGGCGGCCCCAGTTATGCGCGAGCACGTCCTCTGGCGCTGCAGCCTGACCCCCGGCGCCACGCGCAGGCGCAGCAGGGGCTCAAAGGCAACGCGTCGCCAATGAGGCAGACACACACACCAGCTCTGGGTCAAATCATTTTATTGAGAAGGTTGGAGATTAAGGAGTGCGGAAGCGCTGAAATTAACGATTAAATCCGACGTCCTCCGCAAGGCCAGACCTGCAAAAGCAACAGCAGTGGGTCAGAGGGAGTGAACCCGCCCGCCCTTCCTCACCCACCACCGCGACAGCCGGCTCAGACTACAGTTCGCATCACCAGCGTCAGCAGTCTAACACGTGCTTTATTTGGAATGTCATCACGGCTGGCTGAAAGCCTCCCACCCACGTCCCGGGCCTGCTCCGCCACACAAGAGAACATAGCGCACCTCACCTTGCCGCCGCCGAAAGGCTGATAAATGCCTGTGGCTTTTACTTAAAGGAGCACAACGGAAGTAGTGGGGTGGGCTTTACCGCTATTAACCAATAGAAAAACCACACCTCTGACCATGTGCATGTAAAGTTGTCTGATGATTGGCTGTGTTCGCTAGGTCCTCCAGAGTATAGAGTGGTCACACACCAACCATAGAGCTGGGCGTCTAAGCGAGAAGTGTGAGGGTTGTACAGTCCTGGAATTCTTCGAATTTTTTTCCATATCACGATCGCCGGTTGCAATTAGCGATTCCTTTACAGCATGCAAAAGAAACCTTTACAGACAGGAGACTAAATTGTATGAGACCTTCTTTTCCAGGTCAGCCTAGACAATTTGGCAAGACCCTGTCTCAAAATTAAAAGGAAAAATCTTAGAAATGATTTTTCCTTTTAATTAGGAAAATTTACCGGGGTTTTTTAAATACATATTTTAATACATATTTTTAGTTGTTGATGGACCTTTTTTTTTAATTATTCATTTATTTATATGCAGTGCTGACAACCGAACCCAGTGCCTCACACATGCCTGCCAAGCGTTCTGCCACTGACCACAACCCCAGCATAATTTACTTTTTTTTTTTGTACTAATAAAAGCAGTCCAACCTATGAGTCTGTTGAATGGGGGTTCTTATTTTCAATGTAATCTTTAAATTTAAAAAATTCCTCATTGATCCAGAGCAGTAGTTGTTTTTACAAGTGTTAATCACCCTCGAGACGATTATTTATTTTCCTTATGGTCTAAACTTTTGTCATTGCAATAGTTATTACCTTGTAGTACAGTTTCTACTTGGGGATATATAGATCTTCCACAGATTCTCGAAATAAAGATGTTTTCACTGTCTTGTGCAAAAATGAGATGAAGTATTGATTCAGTGATAGCTGTGTAGTAATTACATTGTCAAAATCTTTGTGTACTATGTACTTGATTGGAAGTGTGTGTGCTGTCATTTACTTACACTGATGTGTTAAGATTAAGCTTTAAATACCAAAAGCTGTTGAGGATGCCAAGTATCCAATACTTAGGTTTGGAAGCGCAAAATGGCCATTTTTGAAAAGAAGTTGAACAGTTTTTAGAGAGAGAATTTTTTTTTTTAATGTTTATGTTTTAGTTTTCGGCGGACACAACATCTTTGTTTGTATATGGTGCTTAGGATCAAACCTGGGCCACACGCATGCCAGGTGAGCGCGGTACCGCTTGAGCCACATCCCCAGCCCTGAACAGTTTTTTGTAAAGTCAGACATACACTTACCATGTGACCCAGTGGTCCCTGGGTGTTTACCCAAGAGAAATGACAGCACGTTCACACAAAATCTCTGAACATAAATGTTCACAGTAACATTATTCATAATCCCCCCAAACAGGGAGGATTAAAATGCCCTTGAAGGGGTACATAGATAGGCAGATTATGGTACACCCATACAACTGAAAGTTACTTGGCAATAAAAAGCAATGAACTATACATAGATGCCCAAGCTTGGAGTGTTCTCAGAGTGATTATGCCAAGTAAAGGGAGCCAAACTCAAAAGACCATAGGATTCCATTTATGTGACATTTTGGAAAAGACTACAGGGATTGGGGATAGATCAAGGTTTTCTGGGATTGGTAATGTGTGGAGCATTTGACCAAAGGGATAGCAGGAGGCATTTCTTTTTGGTACTGAGAATTGAACCCAGAGGCATTTTACCACTGAGGCACATCTTCAGTCCATTTTATTACTTTGTTTTGAGAGAATGTCTCACTAAGTTGCTGAGACTGGCCTTGAAACTTGTGATCCTCCTGTCTCAGCCTTCTGAGTCACTAGGATTCCAGGCAGGTGTGAATGCACCTGGTTTGGAGACCGTTTCATTGTGTGTGTGTGTGTGTGTGTGTGTGTGTGTGTTTAGTTAGTAGGAGGCATTTCTGAGGATGAGAGAACTGACTGTCCAGCATCTTCATTGTGGTGGTGTTTACATGACTTTATGCCTTTGTCAAAATTCACAGAACTTCATTGTACTGTCATGTGTAACTAATTAAAACAAAAAAATTTCACAGAACTATTTACTAAAATTTTACGGTATGGAATTTTAAAACAAAATTTAAAAATTATGTTCCCGTCATTTTTTTTTCCATTATTTTAATGAAACAAAATTGGCTGTGTTCGCTAGGTCCTCCAGAGTATAAAGTGGTCACACACCACCCATAGAGCTGGGCAGCTAAGCAAGAAGTATGAGGGTGGTACAGTCCACGAATTCTTCCAATTTTTTTCCATATCATGATCACTGGTTGCAATTAGCGATGCCTTTACAGCATGCAAAAGAGACCGTTACAAACAGGAGACTAAACTGTATGAGACCTTCTCTTCCAGACCTTCTGGAATTATAATAATTAAAATAATATTATTTACTTTATATATATACTTTATACTTTTTACATAGTTTGTGGCTAAGCTATTTAGCTCATAAAGGTCATGGCTGATAATATTTCTGTCAAGGATTACATATATCTGATATAAAATGACTATCTACTTGTATCTTTTGTTTATCTGATATAACTTCATCCATCCCCTTTTTTTTTTTTTTTTAGTTGTCGCTGGACCTTTATTTTATTTATTTACTTATTTATATGTAGTGCTGAGAATCGAACCCAGTGCCTCACATGTGGTAGGGCAAGCGCTATACCATTGAGCTACAACCACAGTCCCATCCTTTATTTTTAACCTTTCTATACTTTGTTTTCAATGTGTCCTTTTATATGAAACACATGGTCAAATCACAGGGTTCAGTCCAATATATGTTTAAAATTACATTTAAATTTTTATTGTGAAATATATCTACATAGAAAAAAGTGCATATAAAGTGTATATAGGGTTTAAAGAATATTTATAAACATTCTCTACCTACCATATAGTTAAGAAAAATGACATCATTGATAACTTTGAAATACACTTCTTTGGAGGGACCTTTCTGAATCTATCTCCCTCTATCACTCAAAGAAAATCACTATTCTGAACTTTGCATTTGTCTTGTTTTTGCTTTTCTTTTATAAACCAGTCTTGGGAGGGACCCACCATCACTTCCCACATTCTATTTGTCCAAAGAACCAACCCTGATATGAATACCAGGGGGAGTGGGGGAGCCCCTCTTGGAAGTTGGCTACTATTTTAGTCAACTTTTGCATCACTGTGACCAAAATACCTGACTAAGCTTAGGAAAGGAAAAGTGGCTCTCCGTTTCAGAGGTCTAAATCTATAGATGGCTGACTCCACTGCTCTGGGCCCAAGGTGAGGCAGGACAACATGGAGGAAGTCCCCAGAGGAGGAAAGCTGCTCAGCTCTTGGGAGTCAAGAATCAGAAAGAGAAAGGGAGAGGGTTAAAGGGGCCCCAAGGAAGATTCACCCTTCCAGGGCACACCCCCAGTGACTCACTTTGTCCAGCCACACCCCACTGGCCTACAGTTACCACCCAATCAGTCCATTCAAACTAGATTAGATTACAGTTGTCACAGTGCACTTATTTTACCTCTGAATATAACAGGACCTTTGGGGAGGACACCTCATATCCAAACCAAAATAGCTACCATATTGAGGCTAATTGCCTAGGACATGGTCTATTTTGCACTTGAAGAGAGTGTATATTCTTTTGTTGTGGGTATGAAGTTCTATGAGTGTCAAGCAGATGAAGGTAGTTGGTGGTGTTATTCACATCTCCAGTAGCTGTGCTTCTCAGTGGAGCAGTTTTGCCACCTAGGGACATTTGGAGACACTTCAGTTTTTCTCAACTGGGAAGGGTGCCACTGACACCTATTGGGGAGTGTTGTGGGTTGAATTGTGTCCTCTAAAAAGAAATGTTGAAGCCCTAACCCTCATCACCTGTGAACGTGATCTTATTTAAAATCAGTCTTTACAGATGGGTTCATTAGAATGGTCCCTAGTCCAATATGACTGATGTCCTTATAAGAATAGGAAAATTTAGCTGGGTACAGTGGTGCTACACTTGCAATCCCAGCGGCTGGAGAGGCTGAGGCAGGAGGATCCTGAGTTCAAAGCCAGCCTAGTGTTGGCATCATTGCAGCATACTCCTTACTCCCACCCCCACTGTATGCATATGGTTCTTATTCCCAAGAAATAGAAAGTAGCCTGAGATAAAACCTGCCGGCCTGGAGCCGGTGTCTCCCTGTTCTCTTATTGAGAGACAGGAGACCACTCACCTGCCCCTGAGATGGGGACATACTGGTTTCCTTGTTCTTTCCTTGAAAAGATAACCCCTTATCTTAGAGATAGGAAACTGCCTGTCTCTGCTCCCAAGAAACAAACTTGCCTTCCACAAGATCAGGGGATGCTGGCTGTGTCAGTCAAGACTAAGCCCGCCCTGGTACGCAGTCGTGATTCTAGCCTATAAAGGTGACGTTCGAGGGTTCAAGAGTTGCTGCTGCTGTCCCTCCTCACTGCTTCTGTCCCTCTCTCTGCCCAGAGCAGCCTTCTCAGGCTCCTGACAATGAACCTGCTTCGTATCCCAGGTGTGTGCGATCAGTCCTTACCCAAGATATGTGTGTGTGATAAGTCCTTATCCCAGGTGTATGTGTGTGTTATTACTCCTTATCCCAAGTACGTGTGAGGTCAGTCTTTATCCCAGGTGTATGCGATCAGTTCTTATCTCAGGCATGTGTGATCAGTCCTGTGCCACTTTTCTTTCACTTAGCAACTTAGTGAGGCCCTAAGCGACTCAGCAAGGCCCTGTCTCTAAATAGAATATATTTTTTAAAAGGAGTCTGGGGATGTGGCTCATTGGTTAAGTGTCCCTGGGTTCAATCCCTGGTACCAAAAAAAAAAAAAGGAAAATTTGGTCATGGAGATGCACAAGAGGACAGCCATTTCAGAACAGAGGTGGAGACTGGAGTGACCCTGCCACAAGCTGTGGAACACCTAGGACTAGCTACCAGAAAATGGGAGAGGCAAAGGATTCTCCCTTAAAGGTCTTGGGGGGAGCACGGCCCTGCCAC